TGAGGAGCTCTCAGCGCTTAGAACAAAAAGAGAATACAGTATACGTATGTATAGTGTATGAGTTCAATACAAGATATACTTTGAACAAAGGTTGAGTCAAGAACTTCTCCCCAACACTCAGTAATCACTTAAGACCCTCCGGAGTACCCTCGCTGAGGGAAGTGCGTGATGGCATGTGTCATAACAATCGATGATACACTACTTTATAAGAACATACAAACACATAATATTATTGAAGATTTATCGTCTCAGAAATCTAAATCTTTAATATCAAGTCAAAGAATAGCATTGAAATACAACAGCCTGTTAAAACCAAATCAAAACCTTCATTCCACATGATCTCAAGAATTATTTGTTGCATATATTGAGATTTGAAAGACAAGATCTGTGTTTGATGTAATATTATTTTTTAAATTGTTTTATTTGTTTAATAGATATTTATAAAACATTGCCTTTGGACCGATGTGAATCTCAACTCTATAGCTAATGAACAGAGCGATCTGATTTACAAAAGTAATGACGAATTTTTATATTTTGAAGTTCATTTTAAATAATTGAAGTAAATTTTCAAAATATATGCAAGCAATTTCATGTATAAAAGTATATTTTTTCTTTATATCTTTCATCTTCTTCATTATAATACCTGTGTATGTTGCGTCATAGTCTCATTAGAAGACACACCGTGCCGTCCCTATTATTTCATGTGACCACTCCACTTGTAAAGTCTCTGACCCCTACTACAATGACGACAACTAACAAAAGTGTCACACTCAACTTTGTAAGAGTTCTAAGACTGGAATCGACGCGAAACAATTAAGGGTGAGGGGCGATAAATACAATTAAAACTTACAAAATTTTAAACGCTTCCAAGCATCCATTTAGTACATTTTCCCCTTTAAATCAGAAACTCCTTTGGGAGTGAAATGTAGACTCAAATATCCCCGATAGCTTCATACTAATTTATCTTCGTCTGCGTCTATAATTTAATTTCGTGCAGTTAATTTTTTTAAATGTGATTTTTTGGTTTATTTCTTCGGAATATGAGGCATCAGCATCTAACTAGGACATCAGATATATTTTCCTTATTTGCTACATAAAAAAGGGATATCTAATTTATATCTTTATCAATAATATAATACATGTAAACGTTTTTTTTCTATAACGTCGCTCCAGCTAAGCCACCTACAAGTACATGTACGCCATCATGTCGAGCGATTTCATATCGTATAAGCTTCTTATGGAATTTTCTACCGATAAATTCCCGCAGTAATATAACTAACCTCAGTTTTATTATCTCTTCTTTAACTGTCGGTGTAGCAATCGATTACAATTTACGTTAATGATATAATAGCAATATATATTGACGCCAAAATATTTGTTCATGTTTTATATATTATAAAAAAACCCTTAGGAGAATACAAAAACTTCAAATATATATTATTTACCTGTGATTTTATTTGAATACCAGCAACAGTGACAAAAATTTCGTTAAGAATGAACAAATGATCACTTCATCCAAAGATTCCTTTGTTTTAAACATAGGATTTTGATTGGGAAAAAATATTATTAAAAAAATATTTGTAAGGAGTTTAATTAATATCTACCTTAACGTTGAATTAAACATGATTATCGAATGAATATATTTTTTAAATCAACGAAGTCAATACACTTGTTTTTCATAATCCTATAACAACGCTAAGTTTGTATATTAAGGCCGCATAAGAATCCAACTAAGAGCAATTTCACTAGGCTTCTTATCTCGAGCCCTTCTAGCACTAGCGATGCCGTGACGCTGCTATATTTACGCGCCGCCCCTAAGCCCCTATTTATTTCCAACAATGTATCTGAAAATTAGGGATCACACCGAACCGGAGCCTGCCTTAATTTGCGGATTTTCGGGCATCAAGTGAAACGCGAATTGCACGATAAAATAAGTAGAATGTTGATATGAGGCACGATTTCGTGATAACGACCAATCCCACCATCACCTGTTCTGTTTCTTAATAATGGCTTTTTGCAAAATAGGTAAAGGAAAATAGCAAACGTTATTCATTCATGAGAAGAATGTAATGTTCCATTCGTTGGAATTAAGATATATTCAGTATCAGGCAACAATACGTTATATTAGTGTAATACATATAATACGGACATCGTTTTTTATTCAGGAAATAGGTCGCTAGTTAGTTTATCAAATTAATCAGTTTTATTATCTTAAAGTTCCCGTTATGTTTACATACTTTATTAAAATTATTCTTTATAATGATGATGCTTCGGGGATACTTAAAACTACACGGTTTATAACTTTATATCATTAGGTATAAGTATCCTCATAAAAAGTGATCCGGTACTCCGGGCCCAGGCCCGAGGGCAGCTGAACTTATTTTATATGAGTGTAGTCGTCGAGGGAGTTTTTAGTGTATTAGGTTTGTCTAACCTTAAGAAAAGGTTTATTTTTATATACCTTTCTGGCTCAATGACATAAAGAGATAAGGCTATTTATTTAACGTGATCAAATAATTCAATACATAGATTCAGTATTTTATCTTCTTTCTTCTTACTAAACTGCATGTTTTCTAGTAACAAATATACAAAGAAGACTAATTTACGTGTCAAAGAGAGACTTCAAAAATCTTATTTCCTCAAAATTCCAAAATCTTAGTGTATATTTTTGCTATCCTGCACTTGTTTGTTCGCCACCGCTTTGAACTTTCACGTGTTCTGCGACTTTTGTTGTACGAGGTAAAATGCAGCTTCAATTTTATCAGACAAACGGACAAAATGTAGTGTGTGTTGACAATACCGTCGCGAACCTTCCTTCGGGCGCAATCTCTGCTTCATTCGTTGGTATCGACCCAGCAAACACCAAGAGAACTTTATCAATAATATACACCTATACCATTTTTATATAGCATTACGTCCCAAATATTTTCAAAGGCAGAACATAAAAATACAGCTATTTTCAATTCTTTCAACGTTTCAATTGAACCGGGAGCGAGTAATATTTAAATATTGACATAATGTAAATGAATGTTTTTTTTACTCAAACGAAACAATAAAAGGACATTAGTCATTTAAATTGTCAAAACGTTGAATATTTTGCCAGCGACTCTTTTCGGGGAAATTCGATTTTTCGACTATTTGTAAAGATCCATGGGGAAAATGACTCGACATTATGATGCTTTAATATAATTTCTAACAGAAAATTGTTTCCCCTAATGGTGGTAGCCGTATTATATTCCATCAGTCGCCACTAATTGTGAACGAAAATGTTTAAATATAAGTTGAAGTGGCAGAGTTTTGGCGAAACTAGCATCGTCATTACCAGCTTTTTGTTTCGCATTTGTAAATACCGTCTGCAGGAATACCGGAACGCTGTGACATCACAAATTACTTTTGAGGCAGAATTTCCACGTAACGGCCGCGCTCGCTCGCCGGCCCTCGGTCGCCGCGCGCCGCAAACAAACCAAACTACTAAAACTTTCCAACTCCAAGTTGTTCAACGAAATTTGACCGCGTCACTTTACAATAAACAATAGTATTCAAACGTTCCGAGAGTGATAAGCGGCTTTTTAATCTTCTTCGCTTTGTTTAACATTGAATTTATACGAATTATTATTCCACTCTCGAGTTCTGGACAGCTTTGTTTCAAACAAATTATTGTATAAAACAAAGAGGACATTATCTGTTCAGTAATTCAAATAATGGCATGGAAGTAAAAAGCTAATGGTCGTTGGTTTGCTCAGTGGGTTATTACACGAATAGACTGGCTAATGAAATTGTTATAAACACACCGTGGAGCAACGTAATAGCCGCCTGTCTGGGAAACTCACACGTGCTCGCTGATAGACAACTATGGGAAATATTGTCTGTTCGTCGAACTTTTAATAATATTTTTACTTAACATTATACAGGAACCCCATAACTAAGGACTCATCGGCCATTACAAACTAAAAAACCGGCTTGGTTCGACGAAGTCTAATTGTTACATCTCATTTTATTAAACGAACTACTGAGCTGAGTGTTATCAGAGAAACCAAAATCTAGCAAAACTAAACTAGGAAGATAATTAATTAGATAAAATTAAATAATATACGAACAGTTCAAAATGAAATAACTTGTCATGTCTCCCTTAAAGCAAACTACATTGGAAGCGACTGTTCAAACATGAACGACAATTTGTAGAAATTATCGAGTCCATATGTATTTAATTGTTTAGTTCTATATTTACGATATGTTTATTTTTGAAATCTTATTTCTATTATTTCATTGCAGATGGCGCCACAGAGGTTTGGGAGACGGATCTCTGGCTGTGTTACTTATAATGTTTTTATGGTAAGTTAAAATGCTTTATCCGATATATTTTTTTTACCTAGAAAACTTGTCTACCTAATAGTGAGTCAAAAAACGTTATACAAATAGTCAAGAGTCACCTATTAATATTTCCACATGAATATTTTAATATCACATTCGTAACTTTCTGCATTTAAAATAAAATATAGTACGTAAATCCAAAAAACTGAATATTAACTGTTAATTACATTCAGAAATATATATTTTTTGGAAATAATGTCTCATGTTTAATATTCATGGATTGCACAGAATACTTCGTGAATACGACTTGTTAATGTAACATTTGTTACGAAATCTGTTTATCACGATCAACATAAGTAAATTTACTATCAGAATGCATACGAACATACATACAATTCATATGTAAAGGAACACATTACTCAAATAAATCTATAAACTTTCATAGAGACAGGAACAGAGCCTTTATCTCCTTTCCTTATTCTCAATGAAAGGTACTGCCTCTGTTGTTCTGTTTCTCTGTGCTCATATTATCATACAACAGCAATAAATCCCGCCGAAAATATTGATAACGTTCCAATCATCTCCGAAACCTGCAGCCAGCATTCATATCTGCCGTAATTAAATCTACATCGCCCGGTATTGTTTCTCTATTTACGTTAACAAATCATGCGGACAATTAACAGATGCCGTTAAACTGCATCGATGCATTCAGGTACAGCATCTGCATAATGCCACTCATTTTCCGGGCGTTTGTCGCCGCTAAATCCATCGACTAACATAGTCTGACCCTCGTCTTCCTGACCGCTGTGGACAAATAAATACCATTTTATGTGGCCGCTTGTTGGGCAAATATTCGCAAAGCGTACCGCCTGTAATAGCGCGTGAAACCGTGCTTGTACGCTCCGCTTGATTTTATACCGTGATGCATACATACATATAAAAATTGATTTTGTATCGATATTATGTCACGAACATAAATTAAGATAAAATTTATATTCCCCAGCGTTCTTATCAATATAAAAAATAATTTTAATTTAGGGTTAGAATTAACGGCAGACATGGCCTAGTTTTTAAGGGAGCAGACGTTTTGATAATTAAAAAAATATATTTACCAGAAAACAAGTATTTATTTCATTTTCATTTTTTTTATTTTTATTTAAGTCATGTTTGTAGACATCATTTAAACCATTTTTTTAACAGTAACTTTTTTCATTGTGTAAATTCATAAAACTGCGAATATAGACAGGTAAAGTTATTATAGTTTTATTTTACATATGAAAACATTTAAAATTACATAACTACATATATATTATATACAATACACAAAACAAACGAGTTACAAACTTTTCGGACTTCATACACAAAAAAAAACTCAATATATCCACTTTTTATAATAACAACAAAAACTCAAGTGGCGTTTCAACCTATACACGCACTGTTTTCTTTGCAGTATTCGGTTGTGGGAATTTATTGTGCATACGGTTGTCAAAAATATTTAAACGGTATACATCTACTCAGAGAAAATACAATAGAAGTGTTCATTGTTCATTTGGTTGCAAAAAAATAGTTTTATGATAATAGAGAATAATTTTAAATAAATTCTATTCCCTATCGAGTTCTGCTCTTCAATCTCACGCACGTGTCTTCCAACTAATGGTGATACCCAAATCTATACATTATCCTTTACAAGTAGTGTCTATGTACAATGGATTAACCTGTCATTTATCAATCGAATATAATGCATTGACAAATTATGAAACGCACTTGCTATCAATCAGTCTCGTTTGAAATAAATATATATCTGTTTTAGACCAAATATTTCACAGGCTCCTAAGCCTCGTTACGGGGATCTTTCTAACCTTGTTCCGGATCTGGTAATTTCCGAAATTTGTTATTCTGAACTCTGCCTGTTCCATGATCGCTTCTCGCATTTTTAATCAGCACACCAATGGAATTTATTAACTCTTATTATAGTTCATTTGAATAACTGACTCTTTGCATGACGATATCTCATTTCGCGAATTGAAATGAAAGCAGATATAACACTCAATACTACCTATTTTAACAATTAAATGTTTCTCTTCGAAGTATTTGTACGGCATCATAATTTAAACTAATTTACAGCGGTGTTCTATTCAAAATCTCAATGAATTATAAATTCAGCTTTAAAATCTCTTCTATTTTAATAGTACCGTTCTTAATTTCACTTACGCGGTTCCCTTTGCCGCCCTTGTACGCTTGGCTAAGTTTTTCATCCCATCCCACGCGGCCACAATTATGTGATTTGCATACCTATCACTCTCTGCGGTATTTCACGCTAGGTCATAAAGACCGGTATACTTTTTTTTGCATATATTGTGCTTTTTACCTATAAAACGTGATTGCTTTTCGCAGCTATATTTTTATTGGCAATCAACATGAATTAACAAAGGACAACAAAAAAGTCATGAACTATTATATGTTTAATATATTTTTAAGTCTCGCTACACTATATAAAGAATAAACATTGCAGCATTTAATAAATTTTGTATTTGTCCCAGCTGCTGACAGAACGTTTACATCCCTATCCATTAATCTAACACTGGATATATATAACAATCCATAGGCCCGCAGTTTTTGCTAAAAAAAACATTGCAGCATTTACAAAACAAGACAAAATCCGTGCACAACGCTACGAACACAGTCGTTTATTGGATTTTAGCGGAAATTTCACCGGGACAGTGCAAAACGAACAGCTATGTTTGAGAATGACCTGCATATCTAGTTTTGATTATGATTTGTGATCGTGAAGCTGGAATCACCAGCCGCTTCTACAGTTCGATATTCGGCCTGATTGTAAATTCTCTAAAGAGCATCGGATTGAATAATTGAAAGAAATTCTTTCATCAAAATACGTTATAAGATAATCATCGTAGTAATATTATGTTGACATAAAAAATTTGAATATTTATTATTTATATTTTAAAAACTATATTCAAATTCATTATATTATTTAATACTTAAGCAAAAACAATCAAATCAGTTCGTCTTGTGTAATTTAATGTTGTTGTAGCTCACAAAGGGGCTGTTGATGTTGGATCTAGGAGAAATCACATCGTAACAGAGTTAAAGTCTTTCGTGAAACTCGAGATGAGTCTCGTCCCCGCTCATCTCTCTTTTGCTAATTGTTGCAAACGAAACGGAACGAGGAAACGTAATAAAAGTGCTAGTCTTTGAAGCAAAGAAGCTGCCCTAGGCACTGCTACGGTGAAGCGCATCTTAATAAATTAAAACTGAGCAAAACTCTTATTTTACTTTTTAGCCCTTAACGAACTTCACTTAACATTTCATTTTGTTAAATAAGTATCAATTTATCTTTCTTTATATGTTTTAAAATAACTATTCGTTTTTATTTAAAACAGTGTAACATACATATTTTTTATAAATAATAACTTCAAGTTAAAAAAAAAAATTGAGAATCAAATAAGTTAATTTAACCTTTACTAAAGTTAATATAGAATAAGTTCGCTTACAATGAAAATGTTTTTGAATTCCAGGTCCTGATGATATGCCTGCAGCTGCTCACGTGGGGTAGCGGCGCCTCCGCCCTCGCGAACTGTCCAGGCGGCTGCAGCTGTAACGACGACACGTTGGTGGTTGTGTGTGAGGAGAGCAAACTAGACGTCCTTCCTATCGCCCTCAACCCATCCATACAACGGCTCATCATCCGCAACAATAAAATTAAAACTATCGACAGCTCCATGCAGTTTTACACAGAACTTCAACACTTGGACCTGTCTCAGAATCATCTTGTCAGTATACCAATGAAAAACTTTGCATATCAACGAAAGTTACAGGAACTCCATCTTAACCATAACAAAATATCTTCAGTCACAAACACGACATTCCAAGGACTCAATTCGTTGACTGTTCTCAACCTGAAACGTAACTTTTTGGAAGAACTTACAAATGGTGTGTTTTCTACATTGCCGAGACTAGAAGAATTGAACTTAGGACAGAATAGAATATCAAAAATTGAGCCGAGAGCATTCGCTGGATTGTCTGCTTTGAGAATTCTTTATTTGGATGACAACGAGTTGAGTTCGGTCCCAACGACATCCTTTAGTCTTCTAGGAAGTCTCGCCGAGTTACACGTTGGCCTTAACGCTTTTTCCTTTTTACCCGATGATGCTTTCGCGGGTCTCAATAGGCTGGCAGTATTGGACCTTAATGGAGCTGGACTCTTTAATATAAGTGATTTTGCATTTAGGGGCCTCCCAGGATTAAGAAGCCTAAATCTTTTTGGGAACAGATTAAGTGTGGTTCCTACGCAACAGCTTTCTAGCTTGACGAGACTCGAAGAGTTATATATAGGCCAAAACGACTTTATCGTTTTAGAAAGTCACTCATTCAAAGGACTTAAAAATCTTAAACTTATAGATATAACAGGAGCAACTCAACTTAAACGAATAGAAAAAGGCGCTTTCGAAGATAATATCAACTTGGAATCTATTGTATTGACAAATAATAAAGAATTGTCCACCATAGAAGATTGTACACTTTTAGGTTTGCCTAAATTACGACATGTATCATTGAGGGATAATGCCATAAAAGTGCTCAGTGAGAGCGTATTTGTAGGAAAGGAATTGAAACAACTCGATTTAACAGACAATCCAATCATATGCAACTGCCAAATTCTATGGTTACAGCAACTGTTGAATGAGAAAAGCAATTTCTCTCAAGTGCAATGTGCCAGTCCAGAAAATTTAAAAGACAAATATTTAAAAACCTTGACTGCCGAGGACTTGGAATGTGTTTTATATGATAGTCGACGGCAAACAATTATATGTATTGTAGGCTTCGCGTGTCTCGCTGTTGTTGCGACCCTGCTACTGATATTATACAGATATCGGAAGAGCATGCAGGAGAAACTCAAGGACTATAAGTGGAATAAGGGTCGTAAGAATTTAGAATACCACAAACCCATTTCCACGGAAGAAGACTGCATCGTACGGGGCATCCACCCGTCCCAGTACCCGGCGCCGCCGCACGCGCCCGGCCTCAGGCCTATTCCGGTGACGGAACTGTAGCTAGAGCTTTACGCCTCCCCGAGCGTGTTCTTCATGTCAGGCGGCCAGGGCTCCGCGCGGCGGCCGCAGCGCTCGGGAGGCGGCGGCACTATGCCCGCCAACGGTTTCACGTACATCGGAGGCGATGGACGCCATCATCAACCGCAAACACTCAACAACGGTGCACCCGCGCACCACCTCAACAACGGCTCATTGCGTTCCTTGCCGGACAAAAAGAACCGCAATGGCGTCGTCTGTCACCCTGAAAACTTCCAACGTAATCTCGACACCCGATATTCGAGGAAACAGGAGAACGGTTACATACGTAACTCGGAAACCATAATAGGTTTCCCTCGGGACCGGGAGAGAGAGAGGGAGAGGGAGCATGAGTATGAGCGAGATGTCCCTGACTACAGCGAGCCGGAGTACTCCATCATCCCTGAGAGCTACGGCCGGCCCGAGGACTTCCCTCGCTCGTGCAGCCGCTCCAACACCTTCAACTGTTGAGTGCGGGGAGCTGCGACTCTTCAACTGTTTGTGATCTTGTAATTCTAGCAATAAATCTTCATTCCATTATATTTCCTATGGATGGACTTTGTGATGGACGTAGTGTGCTCTAGAGACGTTAGTGTGGGGGTCCGGTGTACGTTCGACCAGTGAGGACTATCCTATATCGCATTCGATTTAAGAGAGTACCTTATATGTAAATTACTATAGTTAAGTAGTTATGGATCTATTTTTCAATGAAATGAAAAGTGGGGAGTTTGAAAGTGAGACTTTCGTATTGTGTAAGGTTGTATCGTGTCATCGTACTGTCATTATCAACTAGAGATCTATGTTTGAAATCGTTGTAAACGGCGAAATGCTTCGGAGTGCTGCTGTATTTATTATTAATTTGTATCATTTTATCTAACAACGAACTGGCCTTTCATGTGTCGATGATGCGAGCGACTGTAATTATTACAATGTACAGACTAGTCGAGATAAGTTATGAAGCGGGAGGCTGTGACGATCACTCCCCGGTTGTATAGAGAGATTGTATTTCATCGAGTTAATGATCTGCAATTTCATCCACCAGCGACGTGGAGTGGACATTTGATTTTGTACAAAAAGTAACCATTCCATAAGAAATCTTTTAATGTCTTATTTTATTTATAAGTAAATTAATTAAGTGTGCGTTTAATAAGACACCAATATATAAAGTATATTTAGTATTTAACGAGTGTAAATATATTTATATTATATTGAGATATTTATAAAATTTAATACGATCTTGCTCTTATAAAAATTATCAAAAAATTATTTCTAACTTCCCTGTTTCTATATAATTTAATCATTTTTCTATAAACTGATATCCTACACATCATATTTTATTATATCTCTAGAATGTTAATATTATGTACACTAAATTCGTATAATGTAGGTACAGTAATGAAGCACATTTTCATATATCAAACTACTCTACTTTATTCCGATCGATCTCTATTTTTGTTCGAACGATGTCATATTTAAATGTTAGTTTTCTATGTCACATTATTCAATATTTTTCACGTACATCTTCAACGGGCATCTCACCTTCCAAGGATGCATTAAATAACTTTGTCACCTTATATTTCATAGTGTAAAACTTTACACTCCACTGAACATAATCGCCTTCTCAACTATACATCTCAAGTCCTCTTATATTTTTACGAAATTCATATAATATTTTTAAATATTGATATCATTATTCGATATTTAAATATAGTCATTATAATTATCTCATCTCTAAAAGCCTGTTCTGTAGTAAACACTTAAGGACACATTGTAAAAGCCCTATTTATATGTATTATTATTTAATATGCTTTTTTTAAAATGCAACACCAAATGAGGGGCTTGTCAAAAATTTAGAAACAACAAAAATACCAGAATATGAAAACCGTCTGTAACTTTGCATTTTTTTTCCATTTATATAATCATGGTTATATATTAATGACAAAAATAAACTCATTGTTTCGGCCCCTCATTGGTTTTTTAACTAGTATTTCTCCGGCCTTTTAATTTTTGTTTGTAAATATGAATGGAGAATTTGAAGACTAAAGCAATATAGGCATGTGTTAGTGCCTAGTGAATGCCTAAAAAGTATACAAAAAAATATTAATACATATGAGAAATTGTGATTAAGATATTCACATTGTAATAGATCATCGGTCACTTCTATACTTTATTGTAGTTATTACCTACATACAAACTCGATAAATAAAACATACCTCGATTAATGATTTCTTATTTTACAACCTTCTCTTTCCCTTGACCCCTTCTTCCATATTCAACTTTGTGAATCACAAGACTTCCTAAAACAGTCTCCCTATATAGTATAAGTACCTAATCATATTGAAATAAAATTAATAATCAATGCAGAAGATAACAAGTCTATAATTCCTTTTTTAAACTATTTCATGACCTTTTATTATTTTTCTGAAACCTAAATGCTATCAGTGCTATTAAAGTATATTTCTGAAATTTTAAGTACTTGATAAATATAGAAACAAATACTTTGCTAATTCAATATTAAGAGAGACACAAATATGACATAATATTGTGATGGGTAGATGGCACACCATAAAAGCAAATAATAACTGCGTGTCCTGCGTATCCTATTATACAGATAAACCTACATTGGTAAATTATTATTTACATAGTTTAATTCACATAACACGCAATACCCAGGTGTTCAGAGCTTAATATATGCTTTTATATAACTTTTATTTAATAACACTGCCATCTATTAAAGGCTAGAAACATTACCGATCGGTTGATAAGAGCGCCACCTTACTGATATTGTAGTTACAATTTGGAACCGTATTAGCAGTGAGATTCACTACATACTTATCCCTACTAATCCCTACTAATATTATAAATGCGACAGTAACTCTGTCTGTCTGTCTGTCTGTCTGTCTGCTACGCTTTCACGCCTAAACCACTGAACTGATTTTAATGAAATTCGGTACAGAGATAGAGTTGACCTTGAGAAAGAACATAGGATAGTTTTTATCCCAGACTTTTGAAAGGTTCTCTTGGAAACGCGATATAACCGAACTCCACGCGGCGAAGCTGCGGGCGGAAAGCTAGTTTTAAATAAACGCATGTTCTTACAGGCTTTAAAAAGCACTACTTTTCGCAACCAAATTTGTTTAAGAAGTTTGAAAGTTATAGAGTTGACTGCAATATTTTTTTTTGATAGGTTTCCTCCTCTTTCGGCTATTCTATTTTGCTTACTTTTGTTACCACTATAAATGAATTGTAATTATCTATTTATTTTGGGTGTTTAAATAGACGAAATATGATCTTACATTCTGCTTACTTCATATCAAAATAAAGTAAAGTTATTTAAAAAAATCTGCAAATAAAGATTTACAGATATTTTCTAGTATCCTTGATATATTTTAATTATTATATATATATATATATATATATATATATATATATATATATATATATATATATATATATATATATATATATATATATATATATATATAATTTTAATTAATTTTATGCTTAAGAAAGCTTTAATTTAAAATCTTTTGATTGTTCACTTGGAAAAGAAAATCTTGTTGATCAAAAAGGTAGACGATTTTTGCTGTCAAAAGGCAGAAAGATGGTTGCGTGACTCCAGATGGATTCGGTTATTGTTACGAAACAAATAATAATTAATTACAACTAACTGGAACGTACTTCTTCACACAATTGACAAAATTGTTTTAAAATAATCTGCACAGAACTCAACTTAAAAAATAATTTTTGATTTATATTCCTCTAAGAACTGTAAAAATTACAATGAAGTAGTAGGAATTACATCTCGTAATATTTCCTTAAATAATATTGCTTTTCTACTAGTATGTCTTTAATTATGTATACAGCGCCATCTGTTGACAATCTTAATATTCGTGTAGTGTAAAATATTCTCTTTAGTTCCATACTTTATAGGTGAAGCCGTAGACATGAGAATAAAATCTACTTATTACATGACGCAAATCTGCGTCAGATACAAATCTACGTCATAAAAACAAAATATTCTACTACGGAAATGAAACAAAAAGAAAAATAGCTACAAAGTAACATTCTATGTTTAGAATGAATCAAAGGTTTAGAATAAGTAATTAAAACACGAAATATTAAGAAAAATAAAAAGACAAAGTTCAGTTGTTCATTAAATTATTTATTTTAATAATATGCAACATTTATTCTTTACAAAAGTTCAGCCTTTGATGGGGAGTAGCCGAAGCCGGTTTGGTTAACTGCTGAGCGGACATGATTGGTGTAAATAAATAAAAAAAATGTAATTAGGCTCTGGACTTGTCGAGTATCACTTATGGAATTAGAACTTCTCCTCCTCGAGCCCGTGCTTGAAGAACATCATGATGGGTGTGGAGACACCATCAATGTCACGGTACTCCAACATGGCGACCATGCCGTCACAATCCATAGACTCCCCCGTGAAAAACTGTAGATCCTTAAACCTACTGAGAATGTCTTTCATAACTTTGTTCATGTTAGTCTTAAAAACATCTACTTGGTCGGGGGATTTTTCTTCTAATTTTGCCACTAATCTGGAAAAGAAAAACATTTTTTCTCTAGCATCAATAGCTCCTTAACTCGATATGATTATCAAGCTCTGGTATTAGATGATGCTATCCGGTCATATTAAATATAAATTGTTAAGTTAATTTTTAGTCTAGATTATTAATGAAAACAAATAAAATTATTAAGTTTTCTTAGCACATATTTTCCTTATAATTTAAGGGCTACCTTTAGTTTTATAGAATCTATTAACTATGCTTTAGATGAACTTGCAGACAGCATGGCAAAAATTACTTTCAACGGTTACATGATAAATGCCATGTTATAACACCACCTACACTTATTCTAATGCAATTATACAAGTAATCTGTAGAGACAAGAAGCATATTGAATAAACAAAGATACTACAGATTGAATGTATTGAACAAATGTTAATTCTGCTAAAATATAGTACATCCAAATATTCAAGCAATTAAGTAGTAAAATTGTGTTAATATACTTCCAGATGGTTTATAAAACACCTCTGAACAAATTGATAACTTAACTCATTAATTTTGTGGAATGTTTAACATGGTGGAAATGCCACATACACTGGACATGCTACTTTACCATTTTACTCTAAATAACATCCACCCAACCCATGACATTTGGATGATAGGATATGTTGTCATGACAGACATTGATAAGGTCAATGTCATCTAATAGATAATAAATTCGTAAACAATTAAAAGCATGTGCTTATTAATACAGCAAGAGAACTTTTGAAATCCAGAAAAGGAGTAATCATCTAGTATTTGTATTACTCAGACATTTTAAATAACAAGATCGAAATTGAACAAAGAACTAACCAAGTCACAAGTAACAATATGTTCCACGAAATACCTTTCTGTTGAGTCATCGTAAAGCAAAAATTTTTTATGCACTTAAGAAGCAAAATTGCCACGTTATAAAACACTTCACTCACTTTTTCATGTAGTCTTTAAGGTACAGGGTGTAAGACTTTTTGTCACCAAAGGCATAAGTTTCCACAAGCCTGTGGTTCAAGACGATGTCTACACCGCTAACGACCGCTGAGTCTGTGCCCTCGTCGGCTTCTTCAGCTGAAGGATTGAAACCATCCAGTTTGATATCACCCTCTGTTCTTGACTCAAGTTTACCGGTGACTTCGTAAATCACTTCATCAACCAGCTTGATTTTGTATGTGTCCGAGAACATCTCGTCACCTGAAAAAACATAAATAGACAATTAATTAACATATTCACAATAATATATTCCAGATGTCGATGTGGCAAAAACATATAAGAAAATATAAAGAAACTAAGACGTTCCACAAACGTCAAATTCACATCAATAGTGTATGATAATTATGAGAAATATGTTTATAAATAAACTTAAACTAATATAATGATCATAATTACCGGTAATAATATCCTTATAGATCCTCATTTTGTAGGATTACGGGCGATTAAAAATAATAAAAACCGAAACTACGGCTCCCAGCCCCAGGAACTCAACCGGAAAGGCCGTAAAAAGAAAGAAAGGATATAGTGTTGCCACTACATTAAGCTCGACATTTTTAATGTTATTTGTGTTGCACTTTCAAATATTAAATTGCAAAATAAACAATATCTTTAATTGTATTTTATGTAATATTATAACAGTACAAAAAATATAGTATAATACTGTACTGTTTGTTACTGGGTTCTTTTATGTTCCTACTTAAAAATATACATCAATAATATTAATTTTTAAATAAATATAACTCTTTTATTAAAACGAAAAAAATATTCCGAAATATAATTTTTGATAAAATTTTATTGAAGGTTGTAGATACTATTGAAGGTTGTAGTTATTCTGATAAATAAAATTAATTTTCAATTGTCAAATGCCAATGTCATTCACAGATAACGGATATAGATGGCGCGCTGAGGTCAATATTATATGATGTAAAGATGGAAGTGTTTCTTTATAACTCTACAGTTTGTAGATTATGTGGTGAAGAAAATGATAATGGCACATTACTATATTCATGTGAAGAAAATAATCAAAGCTTATGTGAAATAATCAATACCTATTTGCCAATAAAGGTAAAATCTTTGAAATTAATTTGTGGTTGTTTTGACTCCAAATTTTATCAATATGGCTGACTACTTTTTTCTAAATATATCATTTCATTCCTTTATTTTTCAAATTCTATATTTCTTATTTGTCCTTCATCCATATGTATTATAAAATGTTTGCCTTTTAAAATTGATATATCACAAATTAAATAGTATTTCCAATTAAGTTTCCTTACAAAGTTTATTCTGAATTTTTAAACCCCTACTTTATTATTGCCCAGCACGACTTCTCGCGCCAGTATTTGACATTTTCATAAAATAAGTAATGTTGTTAATAAAATAAACACAAAACAAGCCATATGCCTTTGTGTCTTAGTTTATTCAATAGTATGTTCAGATAGTAATCCGGACATTTACAGTTTTTGTTTTTTAATTAATAGTATAGTTGGAATAACTGATATTTATATCAGGTGTCTGATGATGGAGAACTACCGCGGACTATTTGCCCTGGATGTACTATTCAATTGGAAGCAACAGTAGAGTTTTTAAATTTAATTATAAATGGTCAGGTCTGTACAATTTTATTAAAATTTATGTAGAGCTCTCGTATTGATGATTTAACATTGTATGCTTACGAATTGCTTAATTTAGTGATTATATGAAGACGACATTTAATAATTATTTCAGAATACTTTTACTGTTTTTCCAATTTGCAGAAAGTCGTTTAGTGTTTTCAGTATTTGTAAAATGTGTAAAACGTTCTAAAAAGCTATTTTTTTTTTGAGACACAAGACACCAACATTATTAGTTCGAATTGATTTAAAAAAGGTATTAAAACATTTACAGAAAATATTGCGTGAACTTCATCAACGAGAGAAGGAATACAAAAAGACTGTTCTTAATAATTCTAATAAAGGAACTCCAGAAGTTATATCAGAAAAAATCATTTACGAAAGTAAGAGAAATGAAAGATATGATTACAAAAATCCTTCAAGAATGTTTTTATCTTAACTTAATTATATACACGACTGTAGTTGCATCATTTTGACTTAATATTATTGGATATACTATAGAATTCAAGGAGAATCTTATATTACAGTAAATACAAGCAATGGAGTCTATCAAGTGGAGCATCCAATATCACTGCAGGTCAGTGGGCTTGATAAACCAAAGAGAAAACGAGGCCGTCCACCAAAGAAACAGAAGACTGCCGAGGAGATCACACAAGAAATTCCCAAAACGGTAGAAGTAGAAGATAAAACTGATAAAGATGACGATGAACGTTCAGGGAAGAGGAGAAGAAAAACACCTACCAGGTTTAAGGAAGCTGTTCAGGTTTACAGGAATTATTTAAGATACTTTTCCCTTCATAATAATATTGCTTGTGATATAAATAAAATTTTATTACTATATGATATACTATAGCACAATGCTGTTGCAGAAAGCGTCAAATACTTTAACGTAACTGTGGTAATTGAATGTGTATTGTTTTATTTTAAATTGCTCCAAGGAATTAAAATATGAACATAAAGAAGAAGGTTTTTATAAGGATTTTTGAAATCATTTTGTAGTAACAAATAACTATTGTTTGTTTATTAAAATGATGTTTCTTAGTGGCACACAAGCTTAATTATCAATAAATTTCTCATACATATTTCTACTCAAATATCATATTCTTATTAAATAAGGCAACAATGAACACTATTTAACATTTAATTAAGTTGATTATGTAATATATTAATAGCTGTAATTGCATCATTTCCAGGGCAAGGAGCTGGAAAGAATTTTCATTGAAGAAGGCGTCATAGATGGTAATGAGAGTGATCACAACACAAAGGCTGATATTACACAGGAAAATAAATTACCAGTAAACAAAGAACCACAGGTTATAGGGCATTTAGAGGCATCCGGGGAGCTTGTTGTGGTGGTGAAAGGCAAGGGAAGGGGTAGGCCTAAAGGTAGATTATACTGTATGATTATGTAGTATTCAATAAAACTATATTAAATTTATCATGTATGTATTGTGCTAAATAGCAAACTCAATGATAGGAACTAATATAATTAAGTAATCTACCTACATTACATTGACATCATATTATTATTTTAACAATATAGAGCCAGGATAACTTTTACATAATAGATTAGTAAATTTATTACTTTTTAAACATGAGTACAGATTATTATTGTGTGTTATTAAGGTCGCACGCGTCAAACTCGCGAGCAATGCGCTATATGTGGGCTGGAGTTTGCCGCGACTGGTCGCTACATGTCCCACATCGCTCAACACGGGCCGGTGCTGTACAAGTGTGACTGTGGTGAAACATTCACTACCAAGTTACTGTTCTCCGAACATCAGAACACAAGCGGTCACAGCGGGCGGACGGTGGTGCCGTGTAGAAACGAAGTTGAGGCTCAAAAAAAGGTAAGAACCTGTAATTAGTTCATGAAATTTTTATCTTTTAATACAGCACTCCCAAAAGTGAGTAGACTTGTGGGCTCTTCAATCCTAAAGAGCTTTAGGAAAAATGGAGCTGTTGTATCTTGATAGGCCTTGGCCTGGAAGTGTCTTGTAATTTCATTTAACTAAAATAGATTATAGTGGTTGTGCAGTAGGCGAAGAAAAGAGGGTTCTAACAAACAATATATTTTCAATGTGAATGTTTTAATTTTATAACTAATATTTACTATATTCTATATTTCTTTATCACAGAGGCTTATAATATTCGCATAAAACGTATTCTCTTTTCTAATAGTCCCAAAAGAATGAAACCCCTTTGACTGAATTGATACCTGAGGCTGTAGAGGATGTTGTTAAAGGAGACATACAAATACCTCAAGCATTACCTGATTTGAGTGATCTGGACCCGCTGAAGTGTGATGACCAAGTTAAGACTGAGATGGTTAAAAATGAACAAGAAAAACATGAAAATGATTCACAGAATAATGAGTGTGGTGAGATTCATATTAAATATATGTCTAATAAAGTATATTAAATATATATAAGACATTTAAATAATGGTTTACAGAGACAGCTGATGAAACTTTTGTGGAAGTACAAGACAGTAAGAAGGAGAAGGTCAAAATAAAGTGCAACCACTGTGATAAACTATTTGGAACCCGGCAGAGCAAGTCCCTGCATATAAAGGTAACCCGACATTGCATCACTCTGTATATAAATGTTATAGGCAGTTAATATAAAAATGTATAATTCTAAGTCCATCTATGAGATATTTTACCCTAGTATCATAATTCTCGGCTACACACTTCCATAAACTCTTCATTAGATCTCATACTGATTATTGTATAATGTATAGTATACTAAGTGTACTTATACAATAATTAGTATTGGTAGTCGTCGTGGCCTAGTGGTTTAAGGCCCGCCTCTCATGCATGAGGGCGCGGGTTCGAAACTTGGCATTTACCAATGTGATTTTTCCGACTCATATGTACTTTCTAAGAGTATTTAGACACCACTGACTGACGGTAAACTACACATCGTGAGGAAACCCGGATTTATAATTTCTAATTATAAGTTTGAAATCACCAACCCGTCTTGAGCAAGCGTGGTGATTAATGCTCAAATATCCTCCATGTGAGAGGCCTTTGCTCAGCAGTGGGTTCTGATAGGCTGATAATGATACTAGCTGTATATGTGTGTGTATGTATGTGAGTGTGTGTGTGTGTGCGCAGGCAGTCCACCTGGGTGAGAAGTCGTACGTGTGTCCGGAGTGCGGGTCCCGGTTCGCGTACCCTCGCTCGCTGGCCGTACACCGACAGGCTCACCGGCGGGCGCGGCCCTCCGCGGGGTACGCCTGCGACCTCTGCGGGAAGGTAACCTGCATATTACATTATAATATATAACAATACTGAGACTACATAAATCAATTGAACTATGTTTCTTGTGTAGTCTATATTTAAACAATTTTCACAGAGTAGTAACATACATAACGGAAATAGGATGCAGAGAAGTCTTTCTGTTCCTTTACTGTGATAAAATTTTTACAATGATACAGATGCAACTTGTAACATCAGAATAGCACAAGAGCGATAATTCACCCCTTCCTTCCGTGTTCTAAATATTTAATATATATAATAAATGTTAACTGTTGTAGTTTCATTGAGCTGGTATGGTTGTGTGTTGTGGCAGGTGTTGAACCACCCGTCGTCCGTGGTGTACCACAAGCAGGCGGAGCACGCGGCCCAGCGGTACGTGTGCGGCGCCTGCGGGAAACACTTCCGACACAAGCAGCTGCTGCAGAGACACCAGCTGGTACACTCGCAGGCCAGGCCCTTCTCTTGTAAGGTGAGTCACTACCATTGACTGGAAATGGTATCGAGTCAGGATATCTAGGTTGTATGTATAGTGTATTCATTTAATTGAGGATAAATTGACACTTATTTGTCTGTATATTGGGGGCAGTAGCTATTACTTATGGAATTAACTGAGCATGGTCTTCTTTGTTGATCATATATACATATTTAGGATTCTAACAATATTCTTAAATAATATAGGTGTCTTATAAATACAAATACCATCACTGCTTTTATATAACAAATCAAATCTTATCTTACAAAGTTAAACTTGTCTTAAAACAAAAACAACTTAAATGTAATTTACAAAGAGACTCATAAATCGCGTCGACAAACACATGCTTTTCCGCGTAAAAGTAAACCAAATGTCGTCCCTCTAACGTCTCTTAGGGGCCATCCATAAAATACGTCACACTAATTTCATGAGTTTTTGAGCCCTCCCCCGTCCTTGTCACAAGTGGTCACATTTCTGAGACCCCCCCCCCCTAGTGTGACGTCACATGTTTTGCAATTTAACATCGAAAAATTATTAAATTAAAGCAGCAGTTCCGAAATTAGTATTATTTCCATTTAAATTGAGTATTTTTTATGTAAACAACAAAATATCAATTATTTGAAACAATAATAAAAAAATAAACTAATAAATATAAAGAAAAAGAAACTCAATCATCTTCAGTCCATGGACTTTGAAACCAGTCTTTTAAATTATTTATAACTGGCATGGCAGTCACAACTCACAGTCATACTCAGTACTGTGCCTGCACTCTCAAAGTTTCGTTTTCCAAGTCCAGGTCAGTAGTTTTATTACTGGAATCGAGATGTGAACCGAAATTATCGTGTTTAAAAACAAAACCAGTAAGTTTACGACTAAGAGGTGCCATTCGTCGTTCTACTCTGTTAAAGTACTTCTTCCTGGGGCATTTGTGGCAATGTAAACAGCATCCAAAAGAAAATCTTTAAAATGTTGTATAGCTGAAATTAATAGTAGATTTTGAAATGTGATGTCACGAAACTTAGGACCCCTCCCACCCCTTGTCACACCATGTCACACTTTGTCGACCCCCTCCCCCCACTTTACGTGTGACGTACTTTATGGATGGCCCCTTAGGAATTTAAAGGATCAAAATATATGTATGTTTGTTCCATAAATATATGTATACTTCGTTTCCATTTAGAGCATTTCTTTACAATAAATAGTAATTCTCATGTATCCCATAATTCCAGGTGTGTAACGCCACGTTCAAGACCAAAGCGAATCTCCTCAACCATCAGCTGCTACACTCCGGCGTGAAGAAGTTCTCTTGTGAAATCTGCAAACATAAATTCGCACATAAAACTAGTCTCACGTTACACATGAGGTGGCATACAGGTACATGTACATATGTTATTATAAAACTCCATTTATAATACCTTTTTCGTGTAATAACTTCATATGTAATGTATTTGCAGGTGTTAAGCCGTTCAGTTGCGGCGTGTGCGGTAAGAGTTTCAGTCAGAAGGGTAATTTGTCTGAACACGAACGTATCCACACCGGAGAGAAGCCGTACCAGTGTGCGTTGTGTCCTCGACGGTTCACGACCTCCTCCCAGCACCGCCTGCACGCCAGGAGACACGCAGAACGAACACACTGCTGCGGGAAATGTGGGAAACGGTATTTAATAATAATACAAGAATATAGAAGAAGTCGGTAGATGAAAACATACTCATACTAATGCTTGTATAGCAAACTAGGATTCAATTATCTTGACTAGTGTCATACAAACATTAACCCACCACTCTCGGTGACGCTGTGAAAGCCATTAGGGCTAACAGCTTTAGTTAATTCAAAACAAAAAAAAACAAACCTCAAACTATACCTAAATTTCAAAAATACCGACAACTACTGAGAATAAACGAGAATGTTTTCTAACTAAACAAATATGTTATCTTGTTGTTTGTGAAGTCATCAATTGAATCCAATTACTTATTTTTCTAGCATGGCGTCTCGCAGCGTGTGGGCGGCACATGTACGACGCGATGACTGTACTTCACGACGATTGTCACGACAGAAGGTAAAGAAAGATATACATGAAGCATTCTGATAAACTACAATATCTGGTCACAGAGCTTTGCTCGGTATTTAGGAATTTTTGGTATTTATTTTGTGTTTTTTTTTTCTTTCGTGTAGGCATTTTTTTTTTAGTGAACACGTTAAGAAGACACAAAACAATATAAATCAACAATAATGAATTTCTTAGTCTAACGTCAAAACAAACATTCAATGACTTCCTGTTACTTAGCAACGTCATCTGCTGTGGTGTTGTTTAAAACTTTAAAAGCAATTAGCAAAAAGTAGTATTACTATTCGCAAATACATGTCAGGAAGAGTCATATTTTAAACGCCTCCTTTCTGTTTTTTTTTTCATAGAACAACGTTTTCTAAAAATGATTCCTAGCTACATAGATCGATTTATCGCCCCTGAAACCCCCTATATGCAAAATTTCATGAAAATCTTTGGAGCCGATTCCGAGATTCCAATTATATCTTTATATATACAGCTGCGTGCAAAAGTATTAGGCACCCCTATTGTTAGTCACTATCTCATTATATTGCGGTCAAATGTGTGTTTTATGGTTTAGCTATTGTATTAGCGGCAATTTTTAACCAAATTAAGATAAAAGAAAATATTTATGACATCCAGGTGTGCTCCTAAGCAGTGTTTCTTCGAATTTGCTTTTTTTGCGTTTCGGGTTATAGTGTGTTATCAGTGCTTGCAGTGAACATACACGTCTTCTACGCAACTATTCCTATCACAATTCTAAAGACTAACATTTAACGTGTTAATCATGCCGAAAAAATCTGAACTTAGTGCTGAACAGCGTCTAAGAATTAAGATTTTACATGAACAAGGCATGTCTCAGGTTAAAATAGCCCGAGAAGTGAAGTGCTCGCGATGTGCAGTTCAATATGCTATAAATCGCTTCAAAGAGACTGGCACCCATGAAAATAGACCAAGAACAGGTAGAAGAAAAGTTACTACTGAACGGGAAGATCGATTGTTGATTAGGCAGTCTCTACAAAACAGGAAAAAAACTGCTTTAGATATCGCTGCAGCATTATCTGAGGCAAAAGGCAGCTCAGTGAGTGTTTATACTGTGAGAAGAAGACTTCTTAAAGCTGGATTAAAAGGATGTAAAGCAAGGAAGAAGCCGTGGCTGTCAGAACACAATAAGAAAAATCGGTTGGAGTGGGCACTTAAACATAGAGATTGGTCAGTGGAAGATTGGTCCAACATACTGTGGTCAGACGAATCTAACTTTGAGGTATTGTTATTTATTTTATGTACAATATTAAAACACATAAATGTTTTTAAAATAACGTACTGCAAGAAAAATAATAACTTTGAAAATAAATGTGTTTTTTTCGTTTGGCATAGGTGTTTGGAACACCCGGTGTGACTTATGTTAGGCGAAGGGTTGGCGAAGAATACAACCCAGAATGTGTGGTTCCCACTGTTAAGCATGGTGGAGGCTCAATAATGATCTGGGGCTGCATGGCTGCCGACGGAGTGGGCGAAATGGTGTTGTGTGAGGGACGAATGAATAGTGTTAAATACACTGAAGTTCTGGAAACAGCACTAGCAACGTCGATAACGCAAATTTTCGGTGATACAAACACCGATGGCCTGAAATTTCAGCAAGACAACGCCACTTGCCACAAGTCCGCGCATACCATGAAGTGGTTTGCTGAAAATCATATTGATCTCTTGGACTGGCCACCACAATCACCAGACCTCAACCCGATTGAGCATATTTGGTCCATTTTAAAGAAAAATATCCGCAGGCACTCGATTAGCAATAAACAAGCTCTATTGGCCGCGTTACAGCAGGAATGGAAAAATATATCAAGAGAAGAATGTTTCAGGCTGGTAGAGTCAATGCCAAAAAGAGTGGCTGCGGTTATTAAGTCAAAAGGTGGACCTACAAAATATTAATTATTTTCTTAAAATAAACCATTGTAATCATAAATGCAGTTTTATTTACACTCGCTATGCTAAAACACACTAAAACTTGTCTTACTGTAGGGTGCCTAATACTTTTGCCCGTGGCTGTATATACAAGAATTGCTCATTTAAATATATAAGATAAGATATACTAAAGATATATTAAAAAATATAAAATTTAAGCAAGGAACCAGTCTCCGAACATACTAAATTGATCAATTATGTGACAGGTGACCAAACAAATAAGTTTATTGGTAAACGACAAGAACCATCAGCCGGTACAACTGGATGACCCCAAGCTGACCGACGACAACACTGACGAGAGGGTCATATACGTGACCTACGATACTGAGGACTCGGACTCCACCGCCTTCCATATACTGGACCCTGAACAGGTACACATCCTTACTAATATTATAAATGAGAAAGTATTTCTGTCTGTCTGTGACGCTTTCACGCCTAAACCACTGAACTGATTTTAAAGAAATTTGGTACAGACATAGAGTTGACCTCGAGAAAGAACATAGGATAGTTTTTATCTCAGACTTTTGAAAGGTTCTCTTGGAAACGCGATATAACCGAACTCCACGTGGGCGAAGCTGCGGGCGGAAAGCTAGTAATATATTATGAAAGATACTTATCCCTAGAACTATTTCACTATTACTCTAAATATATTTTCAGACTGCTGATATAGAACAGAACAAAGTGCTGACGACCTGCGAGCTGTACACGCGGCCGTCACTGCTGGTGTCGCAACAACTACAACAGATACAGCTGGAGGCGGACTCGCAGCAGCTGGAGGAACACGAACAGCTGGAGCTGGACCTGGAGCACGAGCAGGTGAAGATGGAGGACAACCAGCTGGAGATAGAGGAGATGGAGGAGATAGAGGAGATGGAAACGAGACCTGGAGTGGCAGGGGGACAGAGTATACCGGTGAGATGTGGACTTATGATGTTAGATGATGTGCTGGAGTAGAGTTAGTATTAAATAATCGATTATACAAAGTCTAACATACATTACATTGTGATTCACTATGTATGTACACATATATACGATATTATTAAATAGAAAATATTAATCAATTTTGTATCTATAAAGTTTCTTAACGTATCTTTCAGGTGACCGACGAGCGCGGTAACCCGCTACACTTCACTATGGCTGACGGAACTAAACTAGCTATCACATCCGTGGACGGGAAGTCGCTGCAGGTCGGTGGAATAAATATATATTTTATTTATATATTCCTAGAAACAAGATTTTCAATCAATTTCACTATTAATTTATCAGGTTAACACAAAATTAAAAGCTATTTTAGTTAATTACGTCCAACTATCTCGCTTCAAACTTGCAATGAAAGCAAAATCTGAATAGAAAATCTACGATCGAATAATCTAACAACGCGCGTTATGAACGAAAAGTGTCTTGATCTTTGACAACTGCTTATATGTCTTGAGCCACTCTCCTACCCTATTATATCAAAACAATATACAGCTGCGTGCAAAAGTATTAGTCACCCCTATTGTTAGTCACTATCTCATTAGATAGCGGTCAAGTGTGTGTTTTATGGTTTAGCTATTGTATTAGCGGCAATTTTTAACCAAATTAAGATAAAAGAAAATGTTTATGACATCTTTTGCGTTTCGGGTTATAGTGTGTTATCAGTGCTTGCAGTGAACATACACGTCTTCTACGCAACTATTCCTATCACAATTCTAAAGACTAACATTTAACGTGTTAATCATGCCGAAAAAATCTGAACTTAGTGCTGAACAGCGTCCAAGAATTAAGATTTTACATGAACAAGGCATGTCTCAGGTTAAAATAGCCCGAGAAGTGAAGTGCTCGCGATGTGCAGTTCAATATGCTATAAATCGCTTCAAAGAGACTGGCACCCATGAAAATAGACCAAGAACAGGCAGAAGAAAAGTTACTACTGAACGGGAAGATCGATTGTTGATTAGGCAGTCTCTACAAAACAGGAAAAAAACTGCTTTAGAACTCGCTGCAGCATTATCTGAGGCAAAAGGCAGCTCAGTGAGTGTTTATACTGTGAGAAGAGGACTTCTTAAAACTGGATTAAAAGGATGTAAAGCAAGGAAGCCGTGGCTGTCAGAACACAATAAGAAAAATCGGTTGGAGTGGGTACTCAAACATAGAGATTGGTCAGTGGAAGATTGGTGCAACATACTGTGATCAGACGAATCTAACTTTGAGGTATTGTTATTTATTTTATGTACAATATTAAAACACATAAATGTTTTTAAAATAACGTACTGCAAGAAAAATAATAACTTTGAAAATAAATGGGTGTTTTTCGTTTGGCATAGGTGTTTGGAACACCCGGTGTGACTTATGTTGGGCGAAGGGTTGGCGAAGAATACAACCCAGAATGTGTGGTTCCCACTGTTAAGCATGGTGAAGGCTCAATAATGATCTGGAGCTGCATGGCTGCCGACGGAGTGGGCGAAATGGTGTTGTGTGAGGGACGAATGAATAGTGTTAAATACACTGAAGTTCTGGAAACAGCACTAGCAACGTCGATAACGCAAATTTTCGGTGATACAAACACCGATAGCCTGAAATTTCAGCAAGACAACGCCACTTGCCACAAGTCCGCGCATACCATGAAGTGGTTTGCTGAAAATCATATTGATCTTTTGGACTGGCCACCACAATCACTAGACCTCAACCCGATTGAGCATATTTGGTCCATTTTAAAGAAAAATATCCGCAGGCACTCGATTAGCAATAAACAAGCTCTATTGGCCGCGTTACAGCAGGAATGGAAAAATATATCAAGAGAAGAATGTTTCAGGCTGGTAGAGTCAATGCCAAAAAGAGTGGCTGCGGTTATTAAGTCAAAAGGTGGACCTACAAAATATTAATTATTTTCTTAAAGTAAACCATTGTAATCATAAATGCAGTTTTATTTACACTCGCTATGCTAAAACACCCTAAAACTTGTCTTACTGTAGGGTGCCTAATACTTTTGCCCGTGGCTGTATATACATATTAACTTATGCTTTATTGAATCATGATACAGGTTTGAAAATTGCTAATTAAAAATAAAACGACATTCAATTGTCTTATTTTAAGACGGTGGTTTAAACAATCGATCTTATCTATGTATTTGAATTTTGATCATGTTTTTGAATCACATAATTTATTATTTACAGGTGATAACACAAGACGGCCAGACGATACCGGTGGAAATCAACGGATACGACAACCAAGATGTGAGGCTGATTAACTTGATTATATCCTTACTAATACTACATATAAATGCGAAAGTAACTCTGTCTGTCCGTGTGTCTGTTACGCTTTCACACCTAAACCACTGAACTGATTTTAAAGAAATTTGGTACAGAGATTGATTGAGAGAGTTGACCTTGAGAAAGAACATAGGATAGTTTTTATCCCAGACTTTTCCCTTGGAAACGCGATATAATCGAACTCCACGCGGGCAAAGCTGCCGGCGGAAAGCTAGTATTATATACATATAATGTCTAAGATCTTACGAGTACATGCTATAATAGAAGCTACCTTTTAATATATATATCGTATTATTCATCATGTTATACCCCCAGCAGGTGTCGAGCCCCAACACGGTGGTCCACCCGCTGCAGCTCCAGAAGTCTCCGCCGCCCGCGCCCGTCACTCACTACTTCACTATCGTGTGACACTCCTTAACATAACACAAGCTCTCATTTAGTACTAACTTAGTGATACACCCTTACTACAAGTATGCATCGTCACTACATACGGACCGTTTACAGTTTTTCGTTAATAATTCTTCACAATCTGATACCTTATCATGATGCGGACTTGTAGTAATGTTGCTGTGATTTGTGAAATATATTATACACCCTGTATATGAGTGAACATTTTTGTTTAGAATAGCTTGAAGCTATGATACTTTTGCATATTGGACTCTTCTGAATGTCCATATATTTTATATAACTAACCTTCCAGCGTTTACTCTGTGTTCTACTTAGAACTTTTATTTTTATTTAATAATCATCTTAATTTATAAAGTGAACGACGTCGTGTGTTAAAGTTACTTTTGCTAAGTACAATTAAGTATTATTGATTAGTATTTTAATTGTAATTCGGATCTCGGGATTTTGCAATAACACATCCCCGTCCTAATTTGATTTTATTATTGAAATAATTAATATTGATTAAACAATTAATATTTTTTTTTTATTGTATAATTAACCACAGCTCAAATTCCTAATAATGAATATTAATTATAAGAAATAATATTTTGCCGACGTTTTATAAGTATAGTTGATATTGATTACCATTAGTCGTTTAATACTCGATGTATGTTGATTTATTTTTATTTATGATTAATATTATTTTAGTTATTCAATTGAACAAGTCTGTGAACAATTTATTGTTTTAAGAATAATATGTTAATGTGATTAAAAATTCAGTTTTATTGAAATTTATTATTTATTTTTCCAACTTTCCTAATTTACTTTTACATAAATCAGTAATTTATCTTGTAGTGGTTGATATACAACCTTAGTCGAGGTGGAATATTGGAGATCGTTTTTGAAACATCCTCAATCAAGATGTAAGGTCTGGTGTGTGACGTCATACTAGATCACAATTTATTGACTCGTATCAACACCAACAATATAGCATAGGAGTTAAAAAATGACTTACAATCTAAGCGCACGGTAGTGCGCCGGCCAAGTTCCAGCAACAGGCCGCGCGCATGCCGTGCACTATTTACACGAACCGTTTCGACCCACTTTTGACCCCCCTGTAGCTCAGTGCCTATTGCAAGTACAGAGATAAAATTGTACCTACGTAATCATATACTAGTACTAAAGCAGTATGCCAAATTTCATAGATAAAGCTTCAGTAGATCCTGAAATATGACCCTGTGAAAATAGCTATTTTTAACCGAGCACATACGTATTTTCACAACTATACCATATTTTAAGTTGGGTGTATGGTAAAGTGAATTTCGGCCAGATGGACCGTTGACGTGAATAAGGTGGCGGGTAGTGGCTGGATGTGGAAGGCAGAGGACTGGGTGTGGTGGCGAGTCTTGGGAATGGCAAATGTTTACCAGTGGATCATGCTGTTGATGAAGATGATTATGATCGACTTCAAAGTGCATCTAAACTTTGCATTAGATTGGATTTCAACCCTTTTTTAGGCAAACAATTAGCTGATTGGAACTTGGCCCCCTTTTTAACAGGCATGTTTTTGGTGAGATAACATTTACTTGGAATGGTTATGGTTATATATTGTTATCTAAAATCTAATGTAATGGTTATCTATTCTCAAAGAGGGTTGGTGTCAGGCAGGCGGCCGGTCGTAAAAACAATTAGCCAAAACTATTAATTTTACAAGAGAATTCACTGCAAAATCAGTTTTTCAAATGTAATATTTTTTTGTGTTTATGAATTTGCGCAATTTTTTTTAATGATGATGTAATATTTCAAGCTTTCTCTTCTTTAGAAGCTTTTTGTATGAAGTATATACACTGCAGTAGTATATATACTGTACAGTCTGCAGTTTACACGATACAGTCTGCAGTTTACACGATACAGTCTGCAGTTTACACGATACAGTCTGCAGTTTACACGATACACGTTATAGTCTGCAGTTTACACGATACAGTTTGCCGTTTACAAGATACAGTTTGCAGTTTACACGATACAGTGGCTCAGAGATATTTGAGAGATTCGTATAGTGTATAGATGTTCGTTCTATTGAACTGCTGTAACATTATGTTCGAATATTATCAATGTTTAAATCTGAAACTAATAGTTTCCGATTTCTTTGCGTATTTTATTATGTTTAAAAACGACATACTTTCGACGATTCGATTACTTTGCAGCAATCGTTATCACGGCAGATCTCGTCTGTCCGTTTAAAATAAATAAAATACTAGTTACATTTAAAATTTAAATCAATAGACAATATTTGAGAAAGATATGTATAATTATTATCTATGTTTTAGAGGAGGAAATTATGAAATTTGGTATTTTATTTTTCATATACATATATTCTGCTTTCCCTACTGCAAATCTCTGTGCACGCCACTGCTATTACTTAGGTATACTGACTAGGTATTAGTAGCGTATGATATTACTTATTAGGTTAATTTAATTATATAAATAATAAATTAATGATACAATTAATTAAGTGTTACGTACAGCACGAAAACCTGCCAAGTTCAAATTTAGAAGTATTATAATTTTAGATATTTTTAACCGATTATGATCGATTTCAAAGTGCATCTAAACTTGGCATTAGATTGGATTTCAACCCTTTTTTAGGCAAACAATTAGCCGATTGGAACTTGGCTCCCTTTTCAACAGACATGTTTTTGGTGATTATTTTCAATGTATATTAAATGTATGGGTAAAATAAAACGAACAGATAATATGAAATTCAATATTATTTCGTTATGCTTTTTAATAATACAATATATTTGCATACCATACACTATCGGTAGTATATAATTGATGACCCAATCATTGAACAATCGAATGATATACATAAATTTCAGTTTAACATCGTTTTAATAAATAGCTGTATACAAAAAAGAAAACAATTATTTACAGAATAAGGCAGTACGATAACCACGTAGAGTGCGCCTTGTCTTCTTATAGCTATACAAGCAGGAAAAATTGGTTTCGATTCAACGTAAATGAAGGTCAATTAAACATAATCATCTTAATCATATCTCCAGTCAATTGAAATAATCACTAACGAGTTAAATATTACGAGTAAGCAAAGATTAGTTTGTGAATTTGTTATTCCTTACTACATACGAGCCCTCCCCCCACCACGTCCCCCCTCCACCTCTCATCGCTGATAGAATTGCATTTTTCACTATTACATGTAAAACAGTCTTTCTTATCTAAACTCCTCCGCAGAGGTAAGAAAGAATATAGTGATGATCCCCGCCTCGCTTACGACTGTCCCACGGCTAAAACAATATTCATATAAAACTGCATGTCTGAGTATTAATAAAATGGCAGTGAATGAAGAGCGCTAACTTCGAAATATTGATTGAGAGATGCGAGAGTGGTGGGGGGAGGAGGGGGAGGGGCGATATTGAACCTGGAACGAAATAGTTTCCGTTTGAGACATACTTGGAACGTAACGACCATCTCACTAATACATATGGCAAACACTGCGAACACTGATCATAACGCACCCGGTACACGCATTCATACTACGATGAGCCACCACACACACTAGTGTACATTGAGATAAGAATAAAATAATCACAATCATTCTAAGACAAAACACAATAATAATGAAATAAAACGATAGTTCGCCACGTAATGAGAAGAATTAATTTCGATTAAGAATATAAAAATAGTTGCACACAGAACGTTATACAACTGTGTGTGTGATGCGTCACACGCGACTGGCTACTGACGAGCAAAATTAATTTTCAGCGACGACAACTACCAACGAAAGTCTCTAAAAAATCTCAAAAGGCATAACAAAAAAAATTACTAAGATATTTTGGTTATAAATCAGCTGATATCACATAATTATTGGGTAATAATAATATTTGAGACTTTCGGCATTAGGCGCTTCGACACACTTCTGATCGATAACAAAATTTAAACGCGTTTCGGAGCACGACACGCGGGCGACCGCGGCCTCTACCTCACTAGAATGAGTCCGCATAAAGATACGTTTATTAAAGCCAAATTTACTTAAGCAATGATTACGCTAAAACACGTTAAAATCGATAAAGGACGCCTTAAAGCCAATATATATATAAATATCTAGAACATTCCAGTGAGGTCGAGGCGCGCCTCTATCTATCGGATTCGAGTTTCCTCCCTCCTCTCCGTCCCTCGGACCTCGACCATCAGATCGTTACAAAATCGTCGCAAGTAACAAACTATCAACATTCAGTGCGACGTTTCTGAACGACGACTGCATTCACAGGCCGTCTTACTGTCATAGATTAAAACCGGCTTCGACATTTTTAATCTGTGTGCATTAAGACTAAGTAAATGCAGCTTACAACCACGATATATATAAAAAATAAACAAAAATCAATAAAACGATTCCCGGCACGAGAAACTCGCTAAATTAAACAGTGTCTCGACGCTCCAGCGAGGCGTTTTAAGCCGGGAGTAAGGCTTGACTCGACTATAGCCGGCGACTAGATAACGTGTGTGAACGATGACACGCGGCCCTAGATGACGAGCGCCATGTCCTTCTTGCTCGGCAGCTGGACCTTCTTGCCCTGCCACAGCGAGTTGTGTATCGTGAAGGCATCTATGGTGACGGTCAGGTGCTTCGTGTGGACTTGGGAGAAGCATTTACTGCCGGAATTATATCTGGAAATATACATAACAAAATTTTAATGACAATATGAATAAAATTTGTATTCTTTATAATGATTTTGTTTCTTAATAATTCCATGCTAATCTTCATCACATCGGTCGTACAATCAATATTCTATACTAACTTGAAGAACTTGTCGAACATTCTGTCGTTGACGTGTTTGGGTCCCGTGCCGTACAACTTGGCGACGGTGTCAGTGTCGGGGCAGTAGCTGTAGAGCGCCCTGAACTGACAGCCGGCGTCTCTGAACAGCACCAGGAAGTGTTTGCTCTCACTGCGGGCGATCTCCTCCAACACTCGCCGCTTGGCCTCGGCGTTCACGGCCCCCGGGAACACGCAGTACTCCACCGCGTTCAACATTATACCGCGGTTGGACTTCGTCGCCGGCTGTTTGTACAGACGAGGACCTGGACCGCAAAAAACTTTATACACTCTGTTCTAAATTAAATCGCTCACAATCTTCTGAATTACATTATAAAAAGTGATCGTTAAAAGTGCTGTATCGTGATTTGACACTATTCTAGATTATTGATTTATATTTAAAGGACTCGATCAATAAATACTTCAAATTATATTTAGGACAATGCACAGCTTCGATGGTGTCATGTATTAATGGTGCGCCGTGATGAGTGTTAGTACAAACAACATCGGTGATAAAGCGTATGTTAAGCGGAGACGGGACGAACTCTGTTAGAACAAAAATAATCTCAATTCTCAACAAACCATGCCTTAAAACGATCCTGTAGTTGGCATGACATCGCTAACATACTGTGATGGTGTTCTACTACTGTGAACCTCACTAACTAACTAACCCGACAATATAACTATAAAACCTTTACGTCGTTCACGGTAGGGCGCTTTAAGGAAAACACCAATCGATCATTATTACACATAGTATATATTGAATGTATGCGTGTATGTGTGAATGTGATACTGACCCGAGTAGTCCATGATGGAGGAGTGTGTGGAGGACACGTCTGAGCCGTCGTCGTGGTGCCTCCTCTTGCCGATGGCTCCGGGTAGGGCTCCAGGCAGGGAGCCGGGCCCCGAGGCCGGCGAGCCGAGCGCACGCCCGCCGGGGGACGCCGCGCGCCGGGGGGGCGTAGCACGACCGAGACCCGAGTCTACATACACCGGCATACTCACACCGTTAACGATGTACCGACTACAGTGCATCCATCTCTTTATATTTTGTAATACAAAGCTTTTGATTGACCGCCATTTACTCGTCAATCAAAAGCCTCTACTCAACCCATAGGGATGGAGCATGTTTTATATGTAATTTCAACAAAAATATAAAGAATTTTTTATTTATAAGTGAATGAGTGAACGAAACTTTTAGAAAATACGGCAGTGTTGTTAACCACATTTCATAGAAGTCTAAACTTCAGAGAATTATACAGATTATGCAGAATCGAAGACCAGGTATTAGTTTCCCAGTTAGAATTAAACTATACTCTTAGTCTAGTGCTAGCATACGATAGGATTAGTTTAAGAGTTAGCGGAAATATATTTAACTGTAAGAATATCGATTAAATGGCTGCTAACTATGCTGTATTTGGCCGCAAATTAAAACCAACCTATATGCTTTAAAAGGTTCACTATAATACTTGAAACAAAATAATACGAAGCCAACATCATGTTTTATCATTACAGACATCTAAGACAAAAGCTTCTGAATACGATTAGCAAGGCATTCGTTATATAAAAAAATCGCCAAAAAAATAAGGAGGCGCTACAATAAAAAGCAAATACAACTTGATATTAAAAAATCAATATTATAGTCTTTTATTTGATAATATTCCAATTAATAAGATTCTAGCAAATTTAAGTAAAAATGTAGAAAAAATCATTAAACTTTCTTTCTTAATATTAAATAAAATTTTGTTGTAAATAATTAATGATTTAATGGAGACAACAATAAAAAAAAATATTATTTGTATTGAATGTTATTACTAAACAGTAACAGCCAAATAGGAAAAAAAATATAAGGAAATTTTACCAAAATTACCCTAAATTTGATGAATGGAACGATGTCATACCAACACCAGGAAGATATAAATAGAACATGCAACACATAAACATATATATAAATAATATTACCTCAATAAAATAAACCACAACCTCATAGCGATGGTACCAGAACTTCTAGGACCCAAACAAAACAACGGTGTGCAACAAGACAGAGGTTCGCATAAGGTGGATGTTTATCACTATTTTGTTATGCCAACACTGAGATGAGAAAAAAAATAATGAAATAAGTGACAAACATCCTCCTTGATGCTGCAACGGAAAAAATAATAACCCAACGCCATAAGCGAGCACCGGCTACCGTAAGTAGGCCGTACAGTACCGGCGTTTATTGAAGTGTCTTACCGCACAAGTTCATAAGAGAGCTAGATTTCCTCCCCGCCTTAAAGTTATTCTGGTAAGTGGAATATTTAGACCTTCCACGAGTCGACTGTGGTTCATCATTCACACGCTCTGAAATGTTTCCTGTATGTCATCATGCGAAACGAACGAAACGCGCGCGATACGAGACATGCGTCGGTCAAGCAGGCTCCGATGTATTAATGTAGCAAACAAAATTAATTCCTTTTATATATAAATATATGTATGTATGGAATACAATGCATCCGTGTCCATCGCACGATCAACTCGGTCAAAGCTATCATAGTCATTACTATAATACAAGAACCAATTCGGATAAATGCGCGGAAGGTCTAGAGGGGGGTCGTCGATTGGATAAAAGCTGATGAAACCTCTCTCTGTCATTATAGGTCAGGTTTGCAACTAACTAATATGGCTGAAATAAATCATATGAAGCGTAATTTTGCGTCGGTATATATTTAGCCAATCTATGCAATCATACACATATATAAAAACATTAAATACTAGATAAATAAAGGTACAAGCATCTACAAAATAAAATCAAAGAAGCTTCACCGACTATCGGATATCGAGCCATATGACCATCCTCAAACACGTGTTCATTCAATCATTAAAAAAATATATCATTAAAAGGTTCCACGTTATTAATAAAAATTCACTCAAAACATTATGAGGACAAAAAATATCGTCTATATTATTTAAAACATTATCTTTTCATATTTCATATCCTCAATGAAAACAATTATAAAGCCAGTAAATCGTTTCTATATGTGACACGAGAGAACACACGTAGAAACGACATACTGACGGATTCAATTCCACTGACAGATCAAAATGTTATGGGAATTGAATCGTATGGGGAATTGTCAAGCGAAGCGCGTCAGTGTTAGTTGCGCACGCGGGGTAGGGTAGAGGGGGGGTCAATGAGGGCCTAGGGCGAGGGGGGAGGGGGGGTCACGAACCTCGTGACGTCTTGCAGGAGCCGCGGCGACCGAGGGGACCGCTTGAGGCGCTGCCCGGAGACATGGCGCCGCGGTCCTCTACTGGAGACTCTGGAAAATATATTAGTACAATTAACAAAGACAATAATGAGACGCTATTAATAAAGATTCACGGACTGAGTGAATGAGTTGGTGTCTGTTGGGATGTGTAGTTTAGTACGTTTTATATTTTGATTGAAATTGTTTATTTCAATTATCATTAAAACCATTGTTCTACAAAACCTCTAGGTTAAAAATTATAATCATATTTTTTTTGTAATAAATTAGTAATTACACATTGTATTGAGTTATACGGTACACTTATTACGAACGTGCGAAGAAGCGAAACATACGTTGAATCGGGAACAAATCTATATTTAAAATAATAAAAATATAACTGGCTTCACAGTATCGGTGCTTAAAATAGTTGATAACATTTATAATGACACACAATTATTCAAAGTTAACTCCGATAGTGTGGAACCGACATAAACAAGCCACATACCTCTATACATAGTAGTTGCCCTTTCAAGGTTGTCCTGCGAGCCGCGGTAGTAGTCACGTCTCATAGTGCCTGCACACACACACGATACCCGTATACTGTGCTACGAGTTTCAGCCTTAAACCTTACGTAATAAGGTTCTTTGCCGTTCACCGTTCAGTACAGTATACGTATACAGCACACAGTAGCGGAAGTACAGCCGCAAACAAAAATATGCAGTGCTTATTAGCTTATAGCGTCATACGTAAACACTGCTTTTTAATCTATTTGCAGTTCAAATTAATTATTAATTAATATACACATTTAAATTACTATTTACTGCATTCGACATAAGTCATGCATTCTATTCTCAATTTCAACTGCAAATTATATTAAATATTAAATGTGCATTGCTTTGGAAAATAAAATATAGCTAAAATGAAAATTTTATCAATTTTCAAGTAGAAAATATAACAGTAGCCACAACACATGCGAGTAACTTATTTTAAAATGTGTGAATTTTTCAGTTGTGGATTTTATTCTGGCTGTTTGGGTATTTTAAAATAGGTAGTGCAACATTTACTTGTTACTGTAGTTCACACGTAATATCAGGTCTTGGGATGAATGTTTGGAGGGAGTGGGTATACTATGTGTTTGTTTCCGTAGGTGTAGTTGAGTATGTACCAGTGAGGTTTGTTGAGGACGGTTGTTTGGAGCCCAGCATGCCCTCCGCGGCTTGTAGCGCTCCGCTGTCCACGTGTATAGTCTTAGGCCGAGCTCGTGCCGCTTGTTTGCCGCGCAGCCGCGGTCCGGCCGGCGTCGCCGCGCCGCTGCCGTGCTTCATCACCTCCATCAGGTCGGACTTGTCGAGCACCTTACCCTGAAATGACAAGTGAGTAGTGAGTAACTTTGATGAAATATAAACAGAATACAGTGCAACCAAAATATAACGAATTCCTCGGTAGAACGAATTTTCGTAATCCCCTTGAATTGTCCATACGATTCAATATAAAATTATACCTTTACATTTCGAACATTATTTTCGAACAACCTCTTTATAACGAATTTTCAACTATCGAGAAAAAGTATTCATACCTCTAATTAACGAATTTTGTCAACCCAAAACCTTTATATGAAGTTCCCACCAATATAACTCTTAATCTTATATTGTAATTCATGTCTCGACATGTTTCGACACGCTTTTGTTCATAAAGTAATCGTTGTTGTTTGATGAAAAGTAATATAAACACTTCTGCTCGTCACTATTGTTAAAGTTTTAAGTTAAAATGGCTCAGAAGCGTAAAAGGTGTTCTTTATCGGTCGCAGAAAAGCGAAACATCATTAATAATTAATTATTATGTTGACCAAAATCCTATGACGAAAAAATTAAACATAGCTAATAAGTTCGGAATTCCCGCAAGTACATTGACTACAATTTTAAAAATAAAAGATAAGTTTTCAGAAGAAAGTGGTTTGAATGTAAACAGTAGTAATTTGATAAAAATGTGTTATCAATTATTATTAGTAGAAGTTGTTCGCTATAACAAGATATTTACGTAATGTTGAGGTAAGTAAAACTATGTAGGTATTATTTTACCTTTTTACCGAATTTTAGACCAACCTTACTTCAACATAACAAACCTCAGTTCAACGAATTACTTGATATAACGAATATATTCTTGTTCCCCTCCGATTTCTTATGTAGTTTGCACTGTATATTGTTATTATTGGAAATAGTAAAAAAAAAACGATTAGTTATAATGTAATATGTTTTATACTGACCTCCCGCTCGGCCTCCTCGATAGCCTTCTTGAGCTTGTACTGTTGTAGGATGGCCTCCCTCCGTCGAGCCTGCTCCTCCTTCCGAGCCGCCTTCCTCTCGGCCTCGGCCTCGTCCCGTGCCCGTCTCGCGGCCGCCGCAGCCTCAGCCCTCGCCCGCGCTTCATCCGCCCGCTGCCGTCGTTGGAGGGAGAGCAGCATGATGCGTTCTTTCTTTCGCTCCATCTCCTCCGCAGAATTCTTTAACAGTTTTTATTACGTTAAATTATATACTTATGGAGTATACTCGCGTTTTTGCCTACTAAATAGTAGTTTTTATTGAATTGTATTTTAATTTTGACAATTTATTTTTTATTTTAATTTTTTAATTTAATTTAATTTTTTATACTTGTTACACAATCTTAATTGAATGTATCTAATGTATCTTTTGCTCGTATTTGTATTAATGTTAACTAAGTGAATGTAATTTAAATTATTTTCTAACGTTAATTAATGTTCTTTATATCAACAATCAAGTAACTGAATTTAATTTATATGTTCCTATTTATTCGTTAGTCTTGAATTGTACCTAAATAATGTAACACCTGACAAAAATATTGGTTTTATAATGATTATGCCGTGTACACATGTGTGTGCCGTGTACACGTGTGCTTAGGAATATAATCAAGCTAAAAATAATTTTAGACTGTAACTCAATTGTAATATGGATTGTATTCTGTTTGAGTGCCTAAATGAATAAAAAAATAAAATAAAAAATACTTACAGGGTCGGGGTTCATTTCTCCTATAACGAGCGCGGCGGGTTCAGCGCTAGGCACTCGTACGGGAGACAGCCTCCTCGCCTCCCCCGCCATGACGTCAGCGACCCCTCCCCCTCCCCCGCCGGCCGCACTACCGACCCCCGCCGCCCGCTCAACCCTCTCCGAGACCCGCTCACTCCACGTTTCTTCAGGACTCCTCTCCGGACTGGGGTACTCGTTCCGTTCCTTCCGAGGTGAACCCCGTTTCGCTCGCAGCGGGGGTTTAGGCCGTTTCGGCTGCTCGTTGTCGAAGGATATGTAGAAGCCCTTTTCGCTGGGCTCCTCGCGTTCGAGTCGCTGGAAGGAGTTCTTGCCGAGGGACGGCCTGGTCGGGGAGGGGATGCGGTAGGTGCGCGTACCCGAGGAGATGTTCAGTCTGTTGATGCCCTGGCGGAGCGCGTCGTCCTCGGCGTTACCGATGAAGGAGATGTTCTGCGGCTCCATGTCGTCGGGCGGCGGCGCGGGCACGGGCGCCGGCGACGCGTGTGTGGAGTGTGTGGTGTGAGCGTGCAGCTGATGCAGCGCCACAGGCTCGGTTCGTCGCGCCTCGGGCAGCGAGCCTTGTCTCTGGGGCGTGCGAGCTCGACGTGGGCTCGCAGGTGGAGGGGACTGCGAGACGAACTGTCCTCCAGCTACCGTGTAGCTGAGATGATTGTTCTCCCTTTCGATGCCGTTCTGGTATCTGTCCGTGTTGTAGTGCACCGTGAACGTGTCCTGCGGGGCCCAAGTCCGCTCGACCGGTGGCGGTTGAGGCGACGGAGACTTCCAGGTGCGTGTGGCCGGCTCCGGGGGCTGCTGGTACTGAGACTGCTGGTTGTTCTGCTGATGAAGCTGAAATTTGATGTGTAAAACTCAGAAATTTTCTGACTTTCCAAAATGGATAGATAGTGTGGGCCCTTAATGATATCAGATTTAACTAAATTTATTACATATAATATTTTTCTTGCAGAAATGGGGTCTGTCACCAATGATGTATAAAATATGAGTCACTCGCCTCGGAGAGCAGGGTCAAGTGACGCCAGCCACCTTTATCAAACGACTGTTCATTACCTGCCAGCCTCTCAGTTCCGTATTCTCCTGCTGCATCTGGGCGTGCTGCGCCCACGTCCGCCTCTGAGGCGGCGGCGGACTATCGTGCAAATAAAACTGTTGCCTTCCGAATTCTTGGTCTATGTCCCTAAACTGATACTGAAAGGTCTGCGGCGACTGGTTGCCCAACTGGTTGTTCAACATGTTGGCCAACTGTGTCCCCATCTGGTTGTTCATCTGGGTGGACTGGTAGAAGTCCCTCGGTATGTGCGGGGTGGAGCCGAAGCTGTTGATCGTCCGCGACACATTGTGCTGTGAGCTGAATTGGCTGTGCTGCAATCCAGTGCGTGCAAGGCTTATGTATGTGTCGTGGTTATAGACAGACATTTTTATTATTGCATTTTATATTATGTAAACATATTAAGTTTTTCTTTAAGTTCATTTTAAGCACATCAAGACTACTTTTACAAGGAAAGTTTAACAGTTTGTTTTAGAGTTCAAAGTAAATTAATATTACTGATTGAGCCCGAACTCTTTAAGTTTTGAGGAAAGTGTAAGCCTGGCTGATTAAAGCTTTCCCACACCTTATGGAGTGTACCACCGCATGTGTTAAACAATTCATTCTGCTTACCAGTTGTGGAATGTTTTGCTGAATATGTTGTTGGAATGGGGACGGCGGCGGTTGGTGCTGTTGAAATAGTTGCTTGGCTTGCTGCTGTTGCTGTAGCAGCTGTTGCTGTTGTTGTTGTAATTGCTGCTGTTGCTGCTGTAGTTGCTGTTGCAATTGTTGTTGCTGCTGTTGTTGTTGCTGCTGCTGGTGTTGTTGCTGCTGCTGCTGGGCTTGCTGTTGCTGCTGCTGCTGTAGCTGTGTTTGCTGGCTGGCGAGGCGCGCAATGTCGCTCTGTATATCCTGCAGGCTGGAGTTCATTCTGTAAATATTTGTCACTGGCTTTTTCGCGCCGTTTCTTTCCACATCAAGGGAGGAGGAAAAACAAGATAAAAGAAGAAAAATCTCTAGTACAAAATTTTGATTTGGTATTTTGGTATTCAATGAAAATGATATAAAACAGTAAAAAGCAATAAAAAAACTCTAAACAACTTACTTCGCTATTGATTGCTGGTATTGTTCCAAAGCTACATTGTCAACACTTTGGTTGGGTGGGTCCACCACCATTTCCTGTATAGAATTTATGTAGAGATTAGTAAGAATATTGTATTTAATGTTTATTAATATGTCAAAAATAAATTTTAATACAAAATACGTTATGATCAATTCTTGTCAAGCTTATATCATTGATCCATTTATTTGTTTGATCTTTTTCTTACAGCTAAGTTTGTTATTAGAAAGAAAAATACAAAATTTAACACTATGTTACCTGAAATAATCCTTAACTAAGTGAAATATAACTAACAAAGGAGATTAAAGGCAAAATAAAGTGTATAAAAATACTTTTACAATCAGTATGGGTTGAGGATAATATATTATATATTTGCTCTTTTTTGTCGTCATACTGTAATCGACAAAACAATTTGAAATATGCTTTATTATCAAATAACATAATTATGGCGGAATTACAAGTTTGCAATCAGTTAAATACTTAATACAAGCAGAACTACTCCAGATTCTTCATTGTCTTATACGAAGTTTCGTAAAATCTCTCAATCTCACGTTCAACGAATATAAGATATGTATATGTATACATATATCAGTTTCAACATGCAAGTTATCCACGGACATGCTCGACTGACGTAATCTACGCCTAAAAGTTTAAGCCACATACTCTAAGGCCGACATTTATGTCTATTAATTAATTGTATAGTCTCACTATGTAACACACACACATACATGCATATTAGACAGTATCACACACATATAAGAGCAGTTCTCACCTGCTGCGTGTCAGCGGGCCCGTCGTCGGCCGGTGTGCGCGCGCCCTTACCCTGCAACACGTGCGCCTCCACCGTTACCATGCGTGTCGCTACTGGAGCGATCGTTACTTGTGTGGTGGATTGTACCATATACTAATGTGTTCGTATACGTGAAGCTAACTCATTGTATTTGATTTATGTGTCGACTACACTTCGATGAGATGTTTGAGATATATAACATTGTCAATATATAATACTTATGTAAATATTTAATAATTGATAGTGTGATGTGAACTACAGCACATAGTAATGACTTAATAATCTTTAGACTATCGTGTGTATTTAATGTTAAAGTACATGCGTCAAGGTGAAATATTATAAAAGTGCTACAAATTCACGTGTGACGTAATTCACATATGATTGTATAATTCGATTGAAATTTATATAATATACATGGTGTTTAAACTGCATGAACCTTGTATCAAAAATGTTCCAATCTACTGATGACTGACGCATGATCTTCTTCTAACTAATCATAATTTAAGCAAATATTTTGTATACTTAAAATACGCTAATTTTTGATATGTAAAATCATTATGGCTTATGCTGATAGATTGCAAGATCTGAATAAAAGCCGTATAAGCGTGAATTTGAGTAATTTTTATGTATTTACTGCAAAATAATATAGGTAAAAAAATCTAGAACTAAATAATATTTCCATAAACGGCCACTCACCAGGGAGGCCAACTGGTATTGCAAAAACGTATCCTAATGAAATAGAAAAACATATTTTACGCCCGCCACCACAACATCACAATATTAAGTATACTCAGATGCAATATCCCCACGTATATATCAAATCGACCAGATAGTAAAACACATTTTAAATTAACGTAAAACACCGTTTTAACTACAACACACTTCATACTACATACGGCACCCGGAAAAACAGTTGAACTTCATTACTATCAACAGTGTATATATTAACCAAACATGTACTGAACACAAACACGAACCGGTCCCATACAAACCCCCCCCTCCCTCCCTCCCTTCCGTCCCCCTCACTCACCCTAGTAACAGCCTGTAGGAAGGCCTGTTGTCCTAATTGTTGCCGCTGCCTGTTGACGGCCACCTCCATCCTCCTCTTCTCCTGTTCTATCCTCCGTCTCTTCTCCTCTAGTTTCAGTCGTATATTGTTAAGCTGCGCCGCCATAGCACCGCCGCTGGGAGACGTCGCCTCGTCCGATAAATCGTCCCCGTCTTTATTATCACCAAATTATAATTAAACAATAATTAGACGTTGATTACAACTTATTGTATATGCAGAATGATATTTAGTATGAGACGTAGAAGCGGTCGGGTGAGTGTTTTGTAACGCATTATATAACCTACAGATAATTAATTAATTCACCTTCCATATTGACGTCCTTAGAGAGCGATATACAAGAAAGTTATTAGAAAAATAATAAGATATTTAGTAGTGTAGTGTGATACTGACTGTGATGGTCGTGCTGCATGAAGTGCTGCTGCCACGTGGTGGTGGCGGGCGGCGGCGAACTGGAGGACATCTTGCGGCCGGCGGGGGGCACTAATAACACACAATATATAAAACACGTTATATATACGAACATATATCTTACCCAAAATTACAAGCAAATACAAGGACAAAGATGCAAAACAATAAATAAACATTGCGTCAAACTACTCGAGTATACAACGATAATTTCGTAAGTGTTTAGGTCAGATATTTCTTCAGTGACCATGGGAATATGTGGTCCTATAAGCATATTCTGGATAACATACAAAGCGTGTTCGATGCATAAAAATATCGATCATTACTAATAATAGAATCGGTTGCACACAAACTAAACTAAAATAATTATCACATTAATATATAGGATTATAGTTGGCACAATAGAAGCCTAGCCTTTAAGTATATCTACTATATATTGGTGTATATCTTTATATATATAATTCTTCTGTGAGTGTGTATGTCACTGAACTTCTCTCAAACGACTGGACCGATTTTGATGATTTTTTTTGTATGTGTTCAAGGGGATCTGTGAATGGTTAAGATTCACAATTTTGTCCGCTGGACAATGTTTTTTTTAATTAATTTTTAATTTATTAGTAGTTGTTCATACAAACGTTTCTTTTTTGACATTAGATTTGACAACTCACTAATATGTCAATCATTCTGTCGCACTTCAAAACACGGAGATTTATAGCTTTAATAGGTAAACTCCAAAAATATAAACAAAAATACGTAACAGATATTTCTTGATATGAAGTTTCTAGTTATTATATGTATATATGTGTGTGTGTCCGTACCCGCCTGATCGCCATTACTTCTAACTTTGACGTCCGTGTAAGTCGTCTTTGACGCGTCTCCATCGGGCGCGTCCCTCTCGTTCAAGTAGAACCCATCTCCGCCCCCCTTGTAGTTGAAGGCCATGTTCTTGTTGTGTGTGAGGGTGTCGCTGCTCAGCTGTCGTCTGATCGGTTGGTAGTTCTGTTCGTTCGGTTGTGAGTGTTGTCGTTCCGTCTTAGCTCGCTCGTCCTGCCCGTTGGTGTAGTCTCCGTGGAAGAACTGGATGGAGCCGCGGATGTCCTGCCGCGACGAGCGGAGGGGCGGGTTGTGATCTAACGGACCTGGAAATGATATGACTAATGGTTAGTATACATTGTCATCAGCCTAACAGAAGCCCACTGCTGAGCAAGGCCTCTTTCTCACATGGAAAAGGTTTGAGCATTAATCACCACGCTTGCTCAAGACGGGTTGATGATTTCAAACTTATAATTGTGAAACAATAAGTCCAGGTTTCCTCACAATGTTTTCCTTCACCGTATGTCAGTGATGTCTAAATACTCTCAGGAATAAATTTATGTTAACACCTGTAAATGTAGAACAATGTTACATGTACTCTTTTTGTAATTAAATAAATAAATAAAATAAATAAGTACATATGACTCCGAAAAATCACATAGGTACTTGCCAGATTTGAACCCGCACCCTCGGCAACTAGAGGCCTTTAACCACTAGGCCACCACTGACTCTTATACATTTAGATATATTAAATGTATTTAAAAATTTCGTTAATTCTAAATCAATACATCCACATGTACATCACTGGAGGCGACGACTTTTTTATTCTACATGTAAATAGTATATTGAAATTATGAAACGAACATTAGTTCCCTATTAAAGATATAATGATCGTAATAAGTAGGTAGATGTAGGTGGTAGAGCCTGGCTGCAGTCATTTAAATACTGATCGAACATTGGCTGGCTCGACCGGGGAAGTGCCACCCTCTCACAGAAGGTCGGCGTGAAGTATCTATACTTTCCTCTTCCTAAATAAGGATGGCAAGGCATCCGCAAAATTCTTTTACGGATGTCCATAGGCAGTGGCGGCCGGTGGGTAATCGAACCGGTGGTGCACTTTACTAAAATATTAATTTTAGAAAATGCAACAAAACATAACCAAATGTCAAAAACGGCTCAATTCGTCATACATCGGGTGCTCTCGGTAATCTTTGGTCGCTAGTGCGGCGCTTGAGAACCGACTCATTACTCGGTACATTTCTATGAACTATCTTTTGTTACACGCGTCAGGCGTATTAATGCGTATCTCATACAAGATGTATTAGCAGTCCTCGTGCACTCGCCGAAGCGCACGAGATATTAGCTTAGTAAAGCGCACAAACTTTTTGACCATAATTAGGAAATTTAATTTTTTATACGTTTTTATGTTTAAAAACTAAATCTTAAAATGGTAATTTAAAAATAAATATGAAGTAAAATTTTGTAATTTTTAAATCTTTTGAATTGGTGGTTCAGCGCACCGTCTGCTCGTTTGCTCTCTTAGTCATAAGTCACGACTAACCGGCGGGCGCGGATATCTTCCTGACGGTGGCCAGTTCCTTCTCGGGGTTCCTCCCCGCGAAGTGCAGCCTGTCCTGTGAGCCGCCGAAGTTCTCCACCGTGAGCTGCGAGTCGTCCGTCACACTCGACCGGCGCGACCTCCGCCCCGCGAAGCTCTCCCTACTGTCCGCCCACTTGGACGGCCGCCCGGCTGCTGCTTGCTCCGATAATACTGAAATAACACAAACAAAACCTTTTTAAAAATTGTATTAATCATTTTTATCTCATTTTTACAATGCATTACTATAACATCACAGTTTTAGTGTTCTGTTTGTATAGTGTTATACTGACCATGATCCTCGTCCCTCCTGGCCATAGCAGACAGCGTGGTGATGGCCCTCCGGCTGTGAACCACGAACTCCTCCCGCTGAGGACTCACGCTGCGACGCTCTGGAGTAGAACATGAGGACCGGCCGGGACGGACGCGACCCGGAGGGGAACGGGACACTTTGGGGGGAGGGGGGAAAGGAGAGGAGACTATTAGTACATATACAGACACGAGCCTGGTGATATATCCATTAATTATACCGTTGCTTTTTTCTCAGTAAAAATTATATACGACTTTGGAATGAACTAAGAAGCTTTATTAAAAACAAAAATTTACTAATTCAATGTATAGAACAAATTATAGGTTAAGTTCAAATAAATATCTCAATTAATAGTGAAAAGGACATCACCTTAAATGAAAACAACTAGCGATACAAATATAAAACGAAAACATAAATAAAAAGAAAACAAATAAGGACTACAAATAAGCAAACGATTACTAAGCGACTCTTTAAATATAATTGTCACAGTTATGAGCATAAATAACATAACTTTCATGGAAATACTATTCGTATAAAAATGAGACAACAGTCAAGTAGCTAGTGTCTAACAGTAAGTAAGTAATACATGTAATAATTAATACATGTGGGAGTCCTGAGGACATAACGCCAACGACTCCATGCTGTTAAAGATTGCTATTAAGAAGCATGGCCATAAAACATGCAAAGCGAAGCAGAGTTAAACGAAGTGCATTAGTTCCTTGTAAACAATATAAAAAATAAATAAAAATAACTCAGAGATAAACGAAAAGTTGCTATTTTATACAAAAACAAAAATAAATACATACTATAACGTGTCATTATTACAAAACAAACATCACACGACAAAAATATTATTACGAATGAATGTATGAAGACATATGAAACGTTGGACATAATCTGTGAACGAATCGTTCGTTACTGAATGAGTGAATGAACATAGGATCGTCCGCGAGTGTAGTGATGTATAGTGATGGTACCTGCGAAGGGCTTGTTTTGTTGGTGTGGGTGTTGGGGCTCGTCCCTCAGGTGCGGGATGGGTGCGGGCGGGGGCGCCGGCAGCCCGCGGCGACACCGCACACCCAGCGAGTTGCACTCACGCGCAGCTACACCAACACCACCCGTCAGACACGACACACACATACACACGCACTCACACACACACACACACACAGACTCATATATTAAATAGAACAGGTGACAGGATTCCTTCCGAACATACAGATATTCATCCCCACACGTTACTACATTACATATAAAATATAGTTCGAATTACATAAAAAAATATTTGTCCTATCATTTCAAATAACACTTAAAATAAAACGAGAAATATGTGACGGTCGATAAAATATAAAACATTGAAGAATTTCGAAAATGTTAGTCAGCGTATAAGATTTATTGAAGCCAATCATAACGTGTAATAAGCACAACATTCCTTAAAAAAATTCTTTACGTCGTTTGTAAAGAATGTTAATGTAAACAAACCATACATACAGACGGTACTCGACTTACCTCTACACTGAACAAGTTAATGGACATATGTAATGACACGTCGTCTCGTCACGACGATCCAATTATATACTATAAGCCCATATATTATTATGGTCTAAATATTTGCGTTACAAAAGCATTACTTCACCCGCCGCATCCGCGTATAACTTATATTAATGACTTAAACAGTGGGCATAGGGCGCTTTGATATTATGACCACATACTCCCATTACAATTCTAGCATGCAATATTGATCCATATACGAATGCTCATTGATGTTATAATCGCGTGAACTCACCGCTGCCAGGATATTTAACACATTTGACCGGGTGTACTTCCAGCATGTTGAAGAGATCCGCGAGCATTGCTATCAAGTTCTGCCGCATTGATCTGTAATATAAAATATATTACGTTAATAACAATGTAATATTAGTAAAACTGGATTTTTTTAGTATAACTGGAAATTTCTAACTGTCGTAAAAATTACAAGTAAATTATGTTGAAGTTTTTATTTCGTGTACATATTTCGACAAATTTTTCATAAGGGGACGGTTCACGGGTTCATAAAATACGTGGTATGTTTAAGGGTGCGAGGGGGTCGATTCAAATCTTATCTAATACTAGTAAACCTGGCGAACTCCGTTTCGCCACCAGAAGGCTTTTATATAACATTTCGTTTGGTGATTAAAAGATGAAGAATTTTTTGTTTTATATTTGGTAAGGAAAATTTTTATTTCATTTCACAACAGTAATGAATTCATTTCGATTACAAAAATGAAGTGTTATGTAGTTGAACTTCTCTAAGTAAATGAAAGTGAATCCAAAGTAGATACCGAATCGAAGCGTTATACGTATCCGCAAAATTATCCGTTTTATTGAAGTGCTCCTTTGTAAACCACATTTTTTGTTTTTTCGTCTAACTTTAACACAAATAAAGCGGATGGTTTCCAAACTCGTGAACACGCAAAATATAACTGCCCATGTGAAAAACAATGATTTTCTAAATTTATCCCGCAAATACTAAATGATTTTAAGAGTTCAAACTACAAACACATTACCTAAATATTTTTATTTTTATATAGTAGATTTCTTACAAATATCTAATTGTCATCCATACGTCATTACATATCTGTCATTATGTTATTCCACGTTTTATAGTGACTGACGTTTCATGTCAAGTCCCACGGGAATGCTGTCGAACGGGATAAAAAGTATCCTATTGCAATTTCCTGGTTCTAAACTACCTCCCTGCCAATTTTCAGCTGAATCGGTTCAGCCGTTCTTGGGTTATAAGTGAAGTCACTAACACGACTTTCTTTTATATATATAGATTACGTTTTAGAGGGGGGGGGGTCGGCAAATATCACGCAAATTTTATTCTGAATGAAACAAAAAAATCTAAATCTTTTTCTTTTTTTCCATAATAATCCAACGAGCTTACGTTAGAAACCTACATTTTGAACATCTCACATGGGATTGGTTGAAAAAATCTCACAACATCTCATCAAGGATAGAGGGAGGCACAGAAAATTAAAAAAAAGAAACACCTCAGGTAACTTATGAACGCCCCTATTATCGAACAGATGAATACTGACCCTCTCATATAAGTGACGTCCTCTGGCATCATGTGGAACACGTTATGCGGCAGGCTGGTGCTGCAGAACTCGTTCACCAGCATGAGGTTGTGGAGGCAGTCTTGTATGGAGGACATGCGACCCACGCGGACCGACGAGCGAGGCAAAGACTCCGGGCAGTAGAACGAGATCAAGGCGGCTAGGGACGTGCCATCACATAGATCTTGGAGGCTCTTCACCATAGGCACGTGATTTGAAGAGTTCTCCTGGAAAGATATAGGATAGGATCAGATATGGAGTGCATTGCAAATGGAAAAACTTCATCACATGATATTATCAAGTGACTATAATTTTGATGATATAAATAGGTAGAGGAATTGACTGTATAGACGAAAAGTTTGCTACTAGCTGGTTCATGATATTGATATAAGGAAATACGTATTAATAAAAAAACATTCTATATATCGTCGGGATAGTGAAAAACCACGTAACTACCATTGGATAATGTACATAGATACATTGGAAGAAAATTATAAAAAGAAAATTTTACCTGAAATATTTTCTAAATTAAACGACTTTTAATGTTATTTTTTCACAATTCACAAAAGTACTTATTGTGAAAAAATTACATTAGAAGTCGTTAATATAGAAAATATTTAATCTAAAACTTTCTTCTGATAATCTGTTTCCAATATAGACACACACGGAATTGTCCAATGGTAGTATACGCGGATTTGCACTATCCCCGACGATATGCAACTTAATAAACTAATGGTACTTTCAGCATCAAAAAAATTACATCTAATCTAGTTAATGTTCACTACATAACATACCTCAGCCTTATTGAGCGCGGTGCACGCAGCATTGATCCATGCCAGCAGCCCGTCCTCGTGCGGCACCCCGCTGCCCCCCACCGACTGCTGCACGCCGAACCTCTGTGCCGCTGCCGACACGCGGTCCAGGGTCACCACCTCCCGCGCGTACAGACACATCACCGCCTCCATGACGCACAGGTGAGCGCTCTGAACACACATATATATAGACTATCAACATATGTATAGAGTATAGACGCAGGATATTATAGCTCTACATTCTCTTCTTCCTGGCAATTTTCCAGCTTTAGCCAGGATCTGCCATACATGATGTGAACAGTTTTGGCTAAATGGTTTTACGACCGGAAGCCTGCCTGACATCAACCCTCTTTGGGAATGCATTAATCAGTGATGTCTAAATACTCTATAAAAAAATCACATAATGCATGAGAGGCGGGCCTTTTAACCACTAGGCCACCACTAACATATTAGCTCTACAGTAAAGTATGTTTTTAATTTTTATATATATTTTATATGTAGCTATGATGGCTTGAGTTATCGTTGTATGTGTACTTGTTTATACATAATTACATTTATATAGATGACATTAATCTTCCGACCAGTGACGGTTAGATCGCACGGCATCGCGTCTTAATCCAATAAATCGTACATGTGATAGATATGTAACTGTTCACTGTGGAGTAGCGTTATGTTTCTGAACACTGTACAATTTGTTACGTTCCATGTATTCTAACTAACAAGGGATTTTAGATTTTAAATGAATACAAATAAGATAATAAATTGTCTTCCGAATAACTTGACTAGAGCTATACAAGTATACACTAGTATTATCCTACGATTTTTCACGACCAGTGATAATTAGGGTTCGCAAAATATATTGTTTTGTATTTTTAATTTTACTTTTATATTAAAAATACTGATATTAAATACAAACAAAATTAAAACAAAAATGAATTTATTATAAACCATTACATAAAATTTATGATATTTAAACAAATATCACGTGACTATAATCGCACCCTGATAGGTCACCTTAGCTGTGACGTCATAATGTTAATGACGCATGTTCGGTAGTGGATTCGAAAAGTATTTTTTTGTTTTGAAATAACTAGAATTATTACGAAAAAAATTATAGTTATCCTATAAAACCTATACATAATCTTTCTATTTAACACATTTTTTTCTCAAAAAGCAACTTACGTATGTGTGTATGAACATATCATTTTAATGGGGTTGTTCTGATAATAATAACAAATCATTGTAATTGTTATCTCTCTATCAACCGCAAAAAGTAAAAAATAATATTATGACGTCACACGCAATCGTTACTGTTCGGGAGTTGTCGGCATGTCTTCGGAAGTGGATTCAAAAATTTATTTTTATTTTGAAATAACGTTTGAATTATTACGAAAATAGAAATAATAATGATTCTACGAAACTCTTAATAATCCACTTATGTCATGTGTGTAGGTACATACCATTTTAATGGGGTTGGTCTGTATGAGTACTGTTTCTGTGAGGGCGCAGTCGGCGGGGTCCGGTATTTGAATGCCCTTCCTCGTGAGGGTCTGTAGTATGTTCCAGTGGTTGAGGCTGTGGTAGTTGGGGTCTGAGTACATGTTGGCCAACGCGAGGCAGTACAGCTCCGCGTTGGCCAGCCCGCCAACTATCGGTGGCTTTAAGTGTTCTTGATCCTGGAAAAGTAACAAAATTTCGTCAATTCGATGGTAAAATAGAAAATAATTCCGAAATTCTGTTTTATATTTAAATAAACAAAGTCACATGTAATTTTTTCTTTAATGAAACTAAGTAGCCAATGGGTCGGGCGTATGTAGTTTTTATCAAAAATAAAGTCGCATAGTATGTCCGATAAATATTAGTTTCATTTAAATGAATAAAACTCGCGAAAATCTTAGATCCATTCACACGTAATGTTTATTAATTATATATTACAATAGACACACAAAGTATATAGTGTTTGTAAATATCAATAAACAAATCATTACAAGTTGTAACATCATTACGTGAATCATTCGACGTCTTCAACGTACTAACAACCAAACAAATAAACTTTCATATTTGTCAAGTATATATTAAAAAGGTTACATTACCTATAACATAAAGTTGCTTAATCACGTCGTTATATGGTTATATCTATAGATCATCTATAGATATAAATAAATGAGTGTCATTGGGTCATTTCAAAGTAGCAATGTTTATAACAAACTTAAATAGATTTAAATTTTAATCGACTTAAATTTTTTTGGTGATTATTAGACAACGTGTGTTTTAATTTATGTTGTTCTCATTTATTTCCAAGTCATATGTTCTTATGGAACTCGAGAGTAACTGATGACTCCATTAATAAAAAAAAGCCTTTTCCAATTAATTGTTACGCCTTATATATAAACTCGTCATAACAAATTTCTCGTAGAACGGTGTAAGTGTAATAATTATTCGCATTTAGAATATAATATATAATGACTTCATACATCGAGGTGTGACTAAAATTGCGTCACAGACTTCAAGGAGCGCTGCCGGCTAACATCGGAACGGGTGTGGTCTAGAAGTGTGACGTCACTGATAACATTTTATCATAGTGCGACTTTAGAATGTCATAGAACACCACCTCGTGCATATTCCTCCTTCATATCTAACAAGTATTGCTAAATACAACTCTATTACATATAGATAAGGATCACAATTGAATCTCTACTAAAAATTTACTGTAATTCTTATATAGGTTATTTTTTACAAAAATCTTCTTGGGGACATTAATAGATTATTGTACCTACAAATTGTACTAATATTATCAATGCGAAAATTTGTGGGGTGGCACAGATGTGATAGGGATGTTTGTAAGTCTTTATAAAAAAAACAGTTAGAAGTATTCCAACGAACGTTACATTTAAATGAAGCCTGGACATCGAACTATGACATAAATTGTTTTAAAATACTTAACAAATTTCTCTCCAAGCCTTATTTTAATCAAGCAAATAAAGTCAGAAAAAAAAACTAGTACATATGTATATTGTATACATATTAACATAAAAAATCTCAAAGCCTCTTTTGACGTTGTACCACTAACCTGGTACACTTAGTAAATATTATAAGTAGGTGTTTCAAACAGGTTATAGAAGAAGAGCATTGAAAAATATATCGTCACAAGATTTCATAATTTATCATAATATTATCATAGAATTAACTGAGATCGAATTCTTTAAACGGAATAAATTGACGACACACTTTAACTTTAATATATTTGTATACATAAATATATGTATATAATGTTATTATGTAACCCGCAATATATAATGTACAAAAAAAACCGGTACAGTTCGCATTATTCGTGCTTGATACAATTAATTGATATTAACTATACACACGCGAAACCAATATAACGCATGTTAATACAGTTTTAATGTATTACACATATGTACTTGGAGCACTTTTACAAATCATTTTCATATGAAATCATACTTTTTTAATAAATTAATTTAATTTAATGTTTTTAATGAATTATACTAATTAAATAGTGTTGTTTGAAATAAGTAAACAACAACAACAGTGCGACAAACAAAAAGACAACACAAAGTAAAGACAAATTGCGAGACGGCAGCTGTGGGCCAGGTCAAGGAGAAAGGCGGAGAGATTTGCGTACAGAAATCATTTACACCTTACATATGTATAATACTAATATATTTGTGATTAAATCTCCGATAATTTTCACGTATCATACGTTTTTATTAAAAACAATACAAGTAAAACTTAAGTAGAATTCGTTATAAAATCGTTTTGTTCCATGAAGTGGAGTCAATGAATCATTATAAATTTATATGTAATGAAATGTTTGAGTTAATCCGGACCGTAATATTCGTTGATGATTCATTTAAATAAATATAAACACGGTTATGATCGTGGGAAACGCTTTACAAGTACAAAAATAATCTAATTATTTGTGGTACATAACGGTGCTCTTGTTTGGACAATGGCCATTTTATACAGTGATAGAGATTAAAATATTGATAGTAAATTATGTGATTCTGAGGCAAAACGAAGTACAAATATAAAGCTATGTATACGACAAGAGATCACAGCATCCCGAAGACGGAAACGGCAGTGACTATTTTTATAAGACGCTGCATCTATACATACTGTACGTCCACCTGCGTTCCAATCTCGTCTTTAAGCTTAGCATGTAGAAAACGAAAAAGACTTATTTTGAAGCAAACTCATGTTTGTGATGGCAGTTATTTGTGAACATTCATTAGCGGTTATTTCCATTACCAAGAGTTCGTCTATATGGAGACACTGACGACGATGATCACGTCTCATCAAAGAAAACTAAGATTCTATTGTATTGGAATATGGAACCTGCTATTGAGTAACTTAAATGTAAAATAACTAACCTTAAGGACGTTTTTTTATATAATAAAAACCATTACATAAAGATACGTTAGATTAATGTCTGTGCATATGATAATAGGGTGGTATCGATGAAGTAACGAGGTATTTACTTTCTTGTGCGTACAATCAATACATTACATGTGCATGTTATTCTGTGTCTGATGCATTAGCATACATAACTTAAATTTTCTCCGGCGAAATCTTTCAACATTCACAGCGGGATACGATTTCAAGTATATTTTATTGTGCTATATATAATGTACACTACCCTTAATGTCTCCGTTGTATTGTCCACTTATAACTCGTTTGATGATCACAGGGCGCTCCCAAAAGTACGACAACTAGACTGAGCTCGCGTGCTGTGCTAACCCCCATACAACTGGCTGGATCAATAACTCCATAGCATTACTTCGACTTTGCGAATAACCGGCTTTTGTTTCAAGGACGATGGAGAGATGACTTCGAGGTCAAAGTATTCTACATTCTTATACACATTTAAAATTAGATTATAAATTTAGAACCAATCCATACTACTATAGTAGATGCGATAGTGTTTGCCCCTATATTAATAATTTACTTTTTCTATGAATTAAAAAAATCCATGTAAAACACATTCGTCAGGATCGCCTAAATAAATAATTCTGAAAGCATACGTATTCCATTACGACCATACCGTTTCATTCATCTACAGCAGTATTATTACATATGCATAACAAATTTAAAATTATCAATAACCAATACATTTCAATTACGAAACGTTATAAAAATATCTCCCTTTCATGTTACACACGTACAGTAATCAAAGCTAACAAATCGATTAATAATAATGTATCGTGAGTATCAAAATAAACATTCGATGTTTGTTTGTGACCCGATTAGCAGTTCCGAAGAAACGATGAGCGGTTGTGAAGAAACTTCGAATGGGTTTCAATAATTCATAACACTCAACCATGAGCTGCGTGGGTTAGTGTGTCGAACGAAATCGCAATTTGTAAAGAAAACATATTAAAGTAATATTATTATATAAGAAATTATCTGTTATAAATCATTTAAACTCACTTCATGATCTCTGTAGAACGGTTCCTGGAGATTTTCTGGTACTCGGTTGTTGAATGCCTTCGACAAGAGCCATTTTATCGACGCTCGCTGCTTTGACTGTAATACAGAAAAATATATATAAAAATACTATAATTAATTACTGTTTAAACTCTTTAAAGTGTTAAAAAGAGTTTAGTATACATATACAATGAAATAAAACAAAAAATTTAAGTAAATGAATAAAGTGCGAATATTTAAATAGCTATAGAATCGACAGTTGTTTGCGACAATTATTGTCATGTTCCATATTATGGCAACGTCCGCTTATTGTGTTCAAATTGATCAGTAATGGAACATAAGTGAATGCTACAATAACCTATTGTATATTTAGAGACGATGTTCTTAAAAACTTTCCACTGTTTCTAACACATAATATGAAAGAAAATATTTGGATTCCATGTTCATACAATACATATAACATAGCCATCAATTATTTGTAATGTACAAAGGGTATAAGTTTGACCTTTAGCAAGTAAAAGTTTACATTTCAAAAGGCAAAAGTGATGCATTGTTAACATACAATAACCAGTTTTATATAGAGACAGAGATATTAATTCCAGGGAAGACATTGCGTAGTGGACACATGGAATGAATTCGCCAAAGTCGTTTAAAACTGGTTAGTCGAATAAGTTTTACTAAACCTTACCCAGTATATAGACAATTTGAGGCTTTAGGCATTAATAAATATTTGAGTGTATTTTGGAACTGATTAAATTTAATGCAACTTTCTTTATAATACGTAATCGATGCATACATTAAAATTATCTGATAACAGTCAAAATTGATTACAATGACTTATAAAGATGATTTTTAAATTATCATTTATAATAACCATTTAAAATTCCTCAAAGTATTATTGTTTTTATTTCATGATAAACTTAATATGCTTGGAATTTCCGATACAGCTAGTTAAAAAATCAAGTAGTAAATATGAAAAACGAGACCTTTTATTTTAAGCTATCGATTAATACGAACCTAGCTATTCCCATCTCCAAACAGCATAAATACTTTAGATATTTCTATAGCTTATAATCGTTATACTCAAGACACGTGCCATTGCATACGGAGTCAGATAAAAATAGATGTGTAGTACAAAGACACTCCCGAACAGGGTGCCACTCGGATATGTAGTCAATCAAAGGAGATCATAAACAAGCAACTCCACAGTCTATAAAATAATGTGCCGGAAGGAATCATATTTAATGTAGTTTTATAAATAGATGCTATTAGAACAGTAGCGTCCGAGCCACGGCTAACGGCGTGTAATGAGATCGTTCGAACATTTCATTGTAATTTAATATTGTCCTTATTGAATCAATTTTACAATTTATTTTCTATTAAAAATAATTTCGACTTGATTCAAATTAAATAGTATAAAGAGAAGTTTAAATACGACGTGGCTATACGGAGTTTTTTAATAATTAATTATCTTAATCTTTAAGAACATATAAAAAACGTTGCTTGTTTACTTTCTTCCAGTGTGTTTAATAACATATATAAGAAGTAGAGCGGTTAGTCCACTCTCTACTGTTTTAATACTAGCTAATTGAGGCTTAATTAAAAGAATCGTCATTCGACATTAAATTTCGGTAATTTGAACTATATTTTACCTAATTAAACTTAGATTTTTTTCACCCCTCAATACTCAAACTCAATACTCAGATTGTACGTACAATTCCAGGACTTCAAAACTTTTGCTTAGAACTTTCTATGGAATCACTGTATATTGTGTCCGTTAGACAAAGCACTGCAAATAATAATAGCATTGTTTTTTGAGTAGGACAAAAGACAAACTCAATTGCTGACCACATAATAGCTGTTGGTCGCAGTATTAAGTATCCTGGCATTATTATTTAGTATAAAGTTACACCGATCATTTATAAAGCTGAAAAAATGTTCAATCGATACGTAATAAATTCCGAGCGACATAGTTCCCACTAACAAGTAATAATAAACCATAACATATAGATTAAATTTCAAATTCGTTTGCATCTAGCGATTCATTTCGCTGGACTAGCTTCATAAGCGTATAATCGCATCTTCGGAAGAGTTCACGGTACTGAAACAATCGAGTCCGGTGGAGTCATTATCGGAGCGAGCGGTGCGTGGAAGTGGAAAGGTGACTTGGCACCTGCGTCCCACGCTGACGGCCGCCTCGCGCCCACACAACCTGCAGACTGGCTCAATACAACATGCTATCACTTCCCCGAAGAGTTGATGATGAATAAAGGATAACGGTTTATCGAACATTAAAATTAAATTCATCTATGAACCTCTATAAGGTCATGTAGGAATTAGGAAATAGTCTACCAGTTGAGGATATTATATTTGCTTTGGTAATACACGATTAGATGGCCAAACTAGTACTATAATGAACTATTGAAGATTTACTTTATCCTTGTCTGAGGTCAACACTTAAAAAAATCGAAGCCATATTCATTTTTGTCGAAACGGAACAAGAAGTGATTTATGTTCCGAATATAGTCCAGTCATTTAAGCTTTAATTAGGTAAGAATCTCGGAATTCGAGATACCCAGCTGTAAGTCTGTAAATAGTTGTATATTGACACCCTAAAAGTTGTCTCAAAACCTACATATGGTAGGGTGTAAGCAACTATTAAATTTCAAGGTCAAAGTCCACAAAAATCGGTTTTTTGCGCTTTTTTTGGAAATATCTCATTTCCTATGGGTTTTTTGCTATTTGTATTTATTATCAATATTGTAGAATACTAAATTCTCTACAAATTTTGTTTCAAAAAATTTTTTATACGGTGTACCGTTTTCGAGATAGAGGGCGGAGAGCGCGCGGTCACCGCATCACTTCAGGTCAACCGATGCCTCCGGTCGAAAACGCGCCATATATAGTTGATGAACTATCAATAAATCAATGATTATAAATATTTGTCAATTTTTATTAACTATTATATTATATTTTATCATTTTTTTCCTTACTTATCCACTTTTTATTCAGTGTTAATTTATTTAACAACTCTTACCTGTCCATGTAATTGCAGAATTGTTAATGAAAATATAAGAATTATATTTGAATTTTAACCTAATTAATATAAATAACTTCTTACATGATGAAAAAAAAAACAAATAAATTATTAATTAATCTTGTTATTAAAAAATATCATTGAATAAATAATTTTTTATTGAAAGTAACAAAATGGAATAAAGGGTACAAAAACTACAATTTATAATTTTAAACATCTTCTTCCTCTTCATCGTCGTCTTCTGGCTGCTGGTAAATTTCAAACTGGTCTTCATTATCGTCTTCAACGACATTTGTGTCAAGTTCTTCCATGATTTCGGGATCAAAGGTTCCATCTTCGTTTATGTCGCTCTGATATGGTTGAGCATTGAGACAAGCTTGCCCATTACATTGGCCACAAGCTAAAGAGCATTGCAAGCCCGCTTTCCTGCATCCGCATCACAAACCACAACCACTTTTGCAGTTGCAGAAAATTGTATTTAGCAAATTTTCTGGAGCAGGTGGTAAAATTGTCATGATAGGCTCCAGAAAATCATTTCGCATTGCCCAACCCCATACCTGGGGTTCCAAATCATGTCCTAACAAAGTTTGAACTTGATAATATGATCTCCGCCCTCTATCTCGAAAACGGTACACCGTATAAAAAATTTTTTAAAACAAAATTTGTAGAGAATTTAGTATTCTACAATATTGATAATAAATACAAATAGCAAAAAACCCATAGGAAATGAGATATTTCCAAAAAAAGCGCAAAAAACCGATTTTTGTGGACTTTGACCTTGAAATTTAATAGTTGCTTACACCCTACCATATGTAGGTTTTGAGACAACTTTTAGGGTGTCAATATACAACTATTTACAGACTTACAGCTGGGTATCTCGAATTCCGAGGTGAACTTACTATAATGACTGGACTAATAAGGCAGAACCGAGCGACGACTTTAAAAGCAAAAAGTATACAGTAAATACATAAAGTATATATAATTATATTTTCCTGACATTGCTATACAACTACATTATTCATAATGCGTACCAAATTTAGTCATACCTTCGAGTACTAAGGACATCGATAGGAATTTAGCGTGTAATCTAATGTACGAGATTTTATTCTTTATATGATATATAGGAACAGATCGCATGAAACGACATTCCATATATAATAAGAAAAATCATGCCTTATTTAGTCAAATATAAAAAAAATCTTTATTATAGTAAGTTTTGTTTAATATTCTATATCAAATAGTTTAAAAGACAAGGTCAAAATCAGCTAGATCAAAGCAAAATATGACGACTTTCACGGACGGTGGAACTGATGACTATACAATTAACTTTGTTCAACAGGAAATGAGAAATGATCGGCTGCGACCTGACTCATTCAGAAACACTAAATATCCATCGACGAAAAAAAGAAACAGACCAATTTTGTAAAAAAAAATTAACTTTGATTATCTTGAACCTGATAATCAATTATCGCGAGTGACAAAAAACTTGATGACGTCATAATTATTACGTACATCATATAATAAAAATATTAATAAACGTCAATATTAGACGTAACGACAAATATATTTAAACCAAAATATACAAATAAGACCAGCTGAGAAGAAAATAAATATGTACATATTTTGATGAAAAAATCCGTAAAAATTATTCACATCATTCAAATAGATAAGAGATATATTTTAAGAATTGATAACTTATCATTTTGTATCACATCAATAACATTCTGGTACTTTCTAATTTCTTCATAATCATAACAATTATAATGTTCCAAATTATGAACCAATTACACAGCATCCGACCAACTGGGACGATACAGTTAAGATATTAGTGAAAGTGAGAGATATATTTCGGTGAGAACATTTTTATGTACAGAAGCTATTTAATATTGTTTTATCATATATTTATCGAACGATCAGTATGTACTATGTAGGCGACAGTCATTGTTTATTGAGTTACATCATCGTCACTATTTATATATATACGAAATAAAACATATCTGTGTGCCTGTCCGTATGTTGATTTAGAAAAGAAATAATAATATATTACTAATTCATATCACGT